GACCTTGGTGCGGGGCCAAGAAAACCCACTGCAGACCACAGGCTAGAGACGGCTATGAATGACAGTTAAAAAAGAATTCCCAACAAAGAAATAACACCACAAGAAAAAAGAAAGAAAAAAATCTTTCCGGTTACAGCTAAGGCTTTCGAAGTTTACATCAAGTCAAACTTTTATTAGCAAAGTTGTATTTCATGTAAAATGAAAATATCTTTTAAAACCGTACGTGCACATATGCATGATACAAACAGCAACTACAGTACAACACGTTTCTCTAAACTTTAATAAATGCACACTAACATTTAGCTCCAAAAGTAACATTGTAACGGTGACACCACATTTGCTTTGATCTTTTCTCATGAAATTACAAAGTATCTTGTTTAAAGTAATAATAATAATAATAAAAAATGAAACAGACAGTATGCTTTGGCTCAAACCCACCTACTGGTTCCTGCCTGGAAACAGAACAAATCAGTGCAGATCACTTGAAAACGCGGAACTGCAATGTAAACATGTACTGGTACCCCAACATGGTTTATATGCCTTATTCTGAAATATTAAATGTTAACAGAGGTGCAGTTGAGGGCTTGATCTGTTGTCAAACAAAGGAAATTCTCTTGCCATGAAGAATTTCCATTCTTTATATCCGTTCTCACAGATATGTAAAATAATCTAGATTTACCATGAATCTGCAAAATAATGACTATAAAAAATCATGAGGAGATTTCCTTTCAGAAGTGTGCAAGGGTCAGTGAATGTTATTCTAACTTTAGTTTACAAAACTGCATGTGGAATTACTATTAAAACCCCACCTCTTTATATAGATTGTGCTAGCATTTGTTTGCATCTCAAAAATAATAGTGTCCTGAAAACTTTATTAAAACCTCTCATGCATTTCATCTGACCCATTTAGTCAATGGAAGTAGTTATCAGAAAAAGAGTTATTAAAATTTGTGCAAGAAAAACACAACAGAACAAATATAATAAAACATTAAATGATATGTTAACTAAATCCTTGTAAAACTTGAGTTACAAAGAAGGGGGTGGGTTTTTTAGTACATTATACATACACACACATTTTTATCCAGAGGGGAAAGTAATTTTCTGATTTGGTTCCTGATTCTGCTCTTCCTAATTTCCAGCCCCAGAAGGGCTTCGATACTCAGTCCTGTACAGTGAGACACCCTGAAGAGCAGTGCCAAGCGCAAGTGAGCATTTCTTGAGACTGGGACTCCAAATTTTGCCAGAGAATGAATCTGAGGCCATTCCTACAAGTTCTCAATTGTCCAATTATTTTTTTTTTTTTAAATAAAAATTCAGATCTGAGATTACAATCCATATCAAACCAAGGGTACTCTGCTCTGTGAACGCAAATGGCTCACTTGTATGGAAGTTAGTGATTTTTTTCCTATTAGCTAGGAAGAGCTGATTTTATTTACTTAACCTTATGCACAGTCAAACCCCACAACTTTTTGAGAAACATCCATCCCTCTCTTGTTCCAAGGAGGCTGCTTAAATCCATAAGCCAGGATTCCTGGGGCCAGGTAAATGCCTCCTCCTTGCTGGATGAAATTGGGATATCAGATTGACTGAGATATCAAATCTGAAAGTGACATTTCCCCTCTCACACTTGTACTGCCAGCAAAATGCAATGGCATATCATAACCAAAAGTGGCCAAACAGCCGTGGCACTAGGTAATTAATAATTCCCTGTCTGACGTGGTCTGGATGCTCCCACAGCTCCCTCCTCCCAGCAGGCAGTCTGAAATTCCCTGCTAGGTATTAATTAATGAAATCACCACAGATTTCCATCAACTAATTTTAATTAACACTCTTGGCCAGAGCAAAAAAAAAAAAGTTATTTAGTTATTTGATTTAATGGACTGTTTCAGAACTACAGGACAGATGGTACTTTCTATTCAGCCTATATGACCACACTTCCTCTCACCTGTAACAGACTGCTCCAGAAAAAAGTGCAGCCCACCTCCTGGCAGTGGCAAAAACTGCTCAGGAAAATGTAAGCTTGCTCTGTTAGTTCACTTTTGAAAGCAAATCTTTAAAAAAACATTAGTGTCCTGCACTTTCCAAGGTACACTGTATGAGTGGCACCCTTACAATAGAAAATAAAACTCCAACAGGGGAAAAAAAGGAAAATAAATGATGGGGAAAGATGAAAAAGCTCAGGTGAGTGAGATTCCCCAGGAGTTTCCGTCATTCATTTCATATTCATTGGGCATATTCCTCAAAAGTCAGTGCTCGCTGTACAAATTCCATTGTGCATCTTTTTGTCACTGTCTGGTTTTTAAGCCCTGAGGCATCATGAAACACCAACATTAAGATTTAAGGATCTGAATTAAAATTTTAATAGAAAAAGCACTCATCCTGGCACAGATGAGCAGCACATCACAGGAATGTCATAAACATCTCTTAGCAGCAACGGAGCAAGTGAGAGCAGAGGGGATTTATATTCATTATTTGATAATTTGACACTGACTAATGTGATTTGAAATTTTTGTCTGTTTAACATCTGCATTTTCTGGGACAATGAGTCTAGTTGATCTGCAGTGACCCAAAGTACAAGAAAATAGATGACTCTGTCTGCGGAAGGGTCACATCCAGCCTCACCCCCTGCATCTGCCCAAAGCTCTGCCCTGGTCAGTGACTCCCCAGCCAGGAGCTTAGTGAGCCTTTGGGGGAGTCCACCCCAAGTTTGTTCCTTAATTTTGTTTCTATTTCAAAGATCCTTGAGCATGCACTAATGAAGATGATTCCTAAAGGAAATATATTGAAAACAGCCCGAAGTTTGCAACACAGGTTGGCACAAGCGTAATCAGTTCTTAGACTTTATCTGACTCGGGCTGCAGCAAACAAGAGTTGGCACATAAAGATCCTGATGGGAAATGTCTCTGTTGATGGGATGCCAATTTTCACATTTCTCCAGTTAAGTACTCAATTCTTTTTATAATGAAGATTTTTTCAAAAATGAAAACTACTTTAGACTTTTCCAGCATTTGGATCGAGTGAAACACAGAAAATACAACTTTATAAATAATTAAAAGGGAATGACTTGGGTCACTGCCATGGAGTGGGGTGATTTTTGGCTCAGGGCAGATTTTTACTCATCCTTTTATACTCACACACACTGCATCGCTGGGGTTTGCTTTTCACAAAATAGAGTCTAGATGAAAGGTCCTGACAAGCAAGAATTTAAAAAAAAATAAAAAAAGAGGAACAGATATTGCAGAAGCACCAAGCACCAAAGGTCTCTTACTGCTTTCCGAAATCGATGAGCACAACTGAGAATCCAGGCACCCTGGGAGCAGCCCAAGCATCAGGGGAGCTGTGAACCAGCCCTGGCCTTTCCACTGGCAACAACCTACATTTGTGTGGGCAACTCACGGGCTTTAGTTACAGGCGCTACTGGAAACTCATAACCATGTGAGGTTTTGCTGCTTCCTCTCTTTCTTCCATTGAAGCAATGGAGATGGTGCAGGAGCCATGTGGGATATTTGCCTAATTACCACCACGATGCAAAATGGCTTTTAGGACCTATTCCTCCTGCAGTAACTATTTTAAAAATATTATAATTGAAGTGACAGTCATTTGTAGGTGCAAGAAGAATCGAAGCCGTATTGACACTCTACTTAAATAAGCATATTAAAAAACACAAATGCTTTTAAAGAAGTTCAAGATATTCCAATACAAAAAGACCAAAAAAAATGTGCTGTAGAGCTTTGCTGAATTAGTGTTGGAGAGGGAAAGAAAAGACCCATATTTAAACCAGTGTTCAACAAACAAAATATAAAAGAAAGTAAACCATAATATTTTCTCTTTGCTTTCACTTTTGTTTATTTAACAATGAATAGCTGGAAAATAAATGATCTCTTGAAAGTCAGGTAGGTCTATTTGATGTGATACTGGAAAGATGTGAAATTTATATGACTGGTATACACACAACTCCTTCTGAAAACTAGTTTTGCTGATCCAAACCCATATGGAGAAGCAATTCTATCCATTTCTACACAGCTATACAGACTCATGCTAGCAACGTCTCATTTCAAAATAAAACAAGGCTGATTTTCACTTGTGTCAATATTAATATCATATGTACAACGTCTCCATGAAATGTATGCTAGCTCACAAATATACAGATATGAGACAGACAACAAGCATTTTCCTTAGAAATGCAGCTTGCAGAGGCTTGGGAGGACAAATTAAAATACTTTCTGATGATGGTGGATGGGAAGGAACCCTGTTTTACCTTGCCACAGGAAAGTTACTGCAGCTTAACTTATTTAAGGAAATAGTGCCAGCTACTGGACAGAAGATTCATCCACAAGGCCAGAGCTTTGTCTTTTAAGAGCAATTTTTCTGTGGATAAAGTTGCATCTCTAAGTATTGGTAATTGCAGTCAGCTGTAACCACTAAAAGAATTTTAGAGTAACATAAGCAAAAGAGTTTATAACTTTATGAAAAATTATATGATATATAGAATATATTTCTCCAGCATTTAAAATTATCATTTTTCTCAGTTGGATGCATCATGTCACTTTGCAGAGTAATTTGTTGGTTTTGTTTTATTTTTTGGTTGTGTTAGAACCTCTGCGATGCCGAGGTCATCACACATGAGGGAATACTACGTGTAAATGTATGTACAAAGTGACAACAGCCATGCCAGAAAAAAAAATACTATACAGAGAAACATATTCCAAACCCAAGAAAGACACGGAGTAGCAGGTAACTATACAGATGCAATACTGAGAAATTATCTTTTGGTAAGACATTTTGTATAGAATTAATTGTTTTGTTTTAATAAGAAGAAAACACCTAGAAATTCAGATGGAAAAATAATCTTTTAGTGGCAGTGACTTATTTTTGAGTTACCTGTATGTCAGCTTCCTGACTGGCTCAATTGGCAACCTGCTTCCAATCACATGTGGTACCTGTGGAGTACTAGTCAAGATGAATATCACAATTAAACACCAATCATTCTTGCTTATAGTTTAGGCGTGGAGAGGAAAAGTTGCCGTAGAACTTCCAGTGCTTTCCACTGATCCTTTTTCCTTAGATCCAGAATAAGCTCCAATAAATGAACCATCTTCATTGAACATCCCTTGCTCCCCTTCTCCATAATCTACCAGACTATCAGCACTTTCGGTGGCTTTAATGTCCCCGTTAATGGACTGGAGGCTGCCTTTCAGCGGCTTTTCATCGCTGTCACTACAAAACAAAGAAACACCTTTCCAAAAATCCAGCTTTTTAATTGCAAGCATGGAAACTGCTCTTTTATTGTGAAAGAAAGCAGGAGGAGGGAAGAGTGAGGGAAATGTTTCTATGTGGGTGATGAGGATGCTCTGACCCTGCCAGTCCTGCCTGGGCTGGTGCACCTCAGGTCATGCACACAAACCTGAATTCCCCAAGTACGTGATTTTGTGATTATTGCAACAGTGGAATCAGTTAAAAAAGCAAACATCAATGAAAACTACATGTGTATTTCCTTCCCCCTCCCCCCTTTTTTGCCTTGGACAGACAGAAGAATGGATAGAAAGTGAAGGGGGGGAGAAGAAAAGGAAATGCTGGGAAGGATTTGAGGGATACAGTGATCGGTGCTGATGGCAAGCCTTCGGCACCTTACAGAAAAACACATTTTCCTTTTACAAAAGAGAGGGCCATATGCAGGGCCTATTTATTTCATTTTTCTTTTGAGGTGGGTAGGTGAACTGATGTCAAGTTGTGGAATGAGGCACCAGCTGTAGGTTATATCTCCCTGCTTTGTGAGCATTTGATTTTAGATGACTAACAAAGGGTTTTTTTCCCTTTTTTTTCATTTGTTCTGCTGTTATCTTATCCTACTATAACTGATAGAGCTTCTCTCTGCTGAAGGGGAGGAACAGCGAAAAATGAAAGCAGAATCAGAGTGTATCTGCTCACATGCAGTCTATACTCAATGGTAATTTCATGAAAAAGGACAGGCCCGCCACCAAAACAGAGAAAAGAAAAGGAATTTCCACTCATTGTTCCTCATTATGGTACTGCAGAAGAACCACCAAAGCAGCCTGACTTCTGACTGAACGTGACATTGGGGGGAACTTGGGAACACAGATTAAAAGATTAAAAAATTTGGGCCTCTGAACTAGGTAGATAATTACTTAATTACAGTCCTTACTAATGCCAATTTGGATGCTAATGTTATCTGAGGAAGGGCAGAGAAGTACCTGAACTTTACCTCCTCAGCATATAATCAATAATTAATATAATCAATACAGTAAAAATATTTGCAACTTTTCTGCACATAGCATTTCTATTTATAAAAAAGACAAGTTTGGAGTTTGGGGGGAAAGGAAGGGGTCAAAATTATTAACCTCAGGACTTTCTTACCTTTCTAAATATTTGTCCCATTAGAAAGCATTAAAAATTAAATAAAGATGAAATTATGCAGAAAAAAAACCCTATTCCAGTACAAATAATGTAGTATATATAAGTGGGATTTTTTCAGAAATGGTGTTTTTTTTCTTTATGCCACAGTCACATAATACTGTAAGCTTCAGTTCTTGTAAAGCAGCCAAAGTGATTATTTCAGTTCTTCTACAGAAACTTCTGTAGTGAGAGCTGTTGCATTTTTTGCCATCTCTTACTGTATTCCAAACTTTTGTTTTCTTCCACAAAATGAATGTTCCCTATATTACACAATTTGGGCCTGACTGGGGTTCAGAAACCCACTGAAGACAAACCAGTGTTTCTATTAACTTCAATGGACACTACAGCAGGAGCCCAAATTATCATATATATATATATATTTACATTATTCATACAATGCTAAATGAAAGAAAAAACAACAAACAAGTGAAAAATAACCACTGATACATCAACATTTACTTATATTCCAACTTGGCTGTATTTAAGTATAGTGGATATACCCTTATATTTGTACTATTATCAACTCTTGTGAAGTTTGCTTTGAAAATGAATTGCATGCTAAAAAAATGTCCTAAATAATGATGACATCTGGAGACAAACAAAACCCCAAGAAACACAAATGCTTGTTAAAGCCGCTCCTATTTACCTATATTCCCCAAAGATTTCATCTTTTATTGATTGAGCTTCGGGATCTGGATGCAAATCTTCTTTTTCTTTCACTGTACAAATAAAATAAAGCACAGATCTGTATGCCGTGTTCCACTGTGGACTCTTCTTTTCCCAGGTGCAATGGGAAAACCACCTGTCATCACCTACAGCCCAGCCCAGAGGGCAGCAGCTCACACTGTGTGTCTGGCTGGACACAACCAGCATACTTCCATTAAGGGTTTGGGACCATTTCCTAATTTTATAGAAAGCTAGCAGGTGTTTGTAGAATCACAGAATGGTTTGGGTTGGAAGGGACCTTTAAAGATCATCTAGTCCAACCCCTCTGCAATGAGCAGGGCCACCTTCAACTAGACCAGGTTGCTCAGAGCCTCATCCAACCCCGGCCTCGAACACCTCCAGGGATGGGGCATCTATTGCCTCTCTGGGCAACCAGATTTATACTCAAATATTTAATCATAGATACTTACTCATTGCTCTGACTCTACAGCTGGATTAAATAATGGAAGATTCAATGAGCACTACCAAAGGCCTTAGCAAGATCTCTGATCAGCACCCAGAGAGCACAAGTTCCACTGATATTCATTAGAATCCATTCCATGGATATTTATCAAAAGCTACAAATCCTAATTGGATGTTTCTGCTTGCGGCTTTGCAGCCTCTAGAGATAAAAGTCTGAAGGATGCTTGTTATTAACGTGTGAACATAGCACAATAAATCCATTTACCTGAATATTTTCCTCCTTTATTTCTTCTGACAAAGCAAATCGTTAGCAGCAGTAGGGTGAGCAAAGCAATGGCGCACATCAGTCCAATAAACCACCCCTGGGTGGAAATTCCATCGTAAATGCCAGCATAGGCTTTGCGAAACAGAAGAGGAGTGAAAAAAATAAAATTAATCAGAGTAAAAGGGCATCACCCTACTATGATATAAATACATAATGTTTTCTTCACTGAATCCTAATCGAATCAGTCTATCACTACTTATTGTGTTCAGCTTAAAGAAATGCAAGACAGAAATACGTCCAGAGCATGACATTTTTAGACTTAAAAAGGGAATGCACAGTCTACAAGGCACAATACAGACATTTTGGAAAGGTAATTCTGCGAGAGCAGTTGACTTAAAGGACTAAAGCCAAACAGGAAAGCTGAACAGAGGATTGTTAAGCCTCTCATGCAAAAGCAGTTTTGCGAAAGAAATAGAGTTAAAGGTGCACCCGATACGTGCAAACCGCTGGACTGGCACACTTCAAACGGATTATATCACAGCACTGCCCTTTCAAAATCGCATAGGAGGGAAAACTGGTTTGTAAAGGTTTGTAAATGGTTCCAGGCTCTTGTGCGTCAAGCAAAGCACAGGACTCAGCCGAGAACTACGGGTATGTTTATGCTCCCATGGGATTCAATTGCAAGGGTCAACTTAAACATCACAGAACAAAGTGATGATTTTGGTTCACTTTCACTGCACAGTGATGTAACTGCAACATTCATTTACATTCAAAAGAAATCTTTATCACCTTGAAGGGTTTCATGTCTCACCTCTCCCCCTTGTCTCAATTACATCTTCAAAAATGCTATTGTTATCAACCCAGTTCTTAGTCACTAGACGAACTGTATATTCAGTGCCAGGCTCAAGCGCCTCAATGGGGTGAAACTTTTGGGTGGGGTTTACTGCTTCTGAAATCTTGCCGATCCCTTTACCTATGGAATGTACATGAATTCAAGTCATATTGATTAATGGTATTCATTGAACAAAAGGCCTGTGAAGTGCACAGTTACAAAGAATGTAAATAACAGACAAATATGACACACAAAGATTTTTAACATTTGTCATCAGATAATGTGATTTTCAAAAGCATGCAGTAAACTAAAAAACTTTCTCCTATTTAATTTTTAATATTCCATCTGATAAAATAAACAACAGACTGTTGTAATCCTGATGTTTATGAAGGGGTTTGTACATTTCCCAGGATGAAAGTTATTATTGATGGGGGATTATGGATCTGCTTTAACTAATGCATGCTTAAAAAATTACAACTTGAAAATGGTCTTGCTTTGTATAGATAATCTGGGATGAGATGGTTCTCCCATTGAACTGAACTCAGCAGGGAAGCACAGGCAGCTTGTTATCTGGAAATAGATTCTTATACGTCTCACAGAAAAAAATAACATCGGGATTTGTACTCATTTCTCTCCTGACAGTGATTTTCCATGTCCTTTTAAATTCCACAATGCCTGCACGATGCACTGTTGTAGATACAGCTGAAGGTTGCTTTTAAATTGATATTTAGATATTTAAATGTTCCTGGTGAGTTTGATTAATAGGTCGAAGGAAAATTCCAGTAGCCCAAGTTTTAGAGCCTTTTTACTTGCAGAATGTCTCCTGCAATTTCTGTCTGCATTAAGATTGCAGGGTATTAAACAAGTTTTTCAAAAATAGCATTTGTGGAGAACAGAAAAAAGGACATCTACAGAGGCTAGGAATCACAGCCTGTTCGTACAAGTAAATTCAGAATGGCGTGCTGACATGGGGGATCTCTCCAGTCAACCAACGGGTGCAACACGGGCGTATGCCTGCCCTCGACAGCAGGAGAGGCATTTGGGAGGGCTGCACTTAATATATAAATTTATAAATATATAAATTTATATGAGTATAACTCTTTAGTTATGTTCAGTTGCCTAATTTGCCTGCTTTATCCAAAGTAGTCTAAATGAAGGATTGAGCATGCAGTATAATTTGAAAATGACTTGACCAATTAGCCCTGATAGTAAAAAAATGCTCATTAATACTTAAACTACTAAACAAGCAAAGCAAGAAGCTTTCAGAGATTAAGGTTTAGCTGACAGCTGAAGAAAAATAAAAAAGATTAAGACAAATCCAAGCACAATCAAAGAAGCAGTTCAAGACAAGTTTTCCAAGGCAAGTATACATGTATTACAATAAGCAGTTAAATTAGCAGACCATTGGGACCCAGAGAGAACACATACAGCTGAAATACTGCTGATACTGAAGCACAGCTTATTAGCATAAATTAATCCATCTATTGGTAATTTTTGATAAATGAAGTCTGTGAAACTGAGCTATAATTTTTAATCCAACAGCAAATTAAGCAACGGGATACCACAGATATATTTTAACTACATGGTTTAAAATCAAGACATAAGAAAAATGTTTTTAATGTAAACACTATCCGTAAAGTAACAAGAATGAATATGAACCTTCAACCCATTGTGCATTAGATACCATATAACACTTTGCATGACATGATAACCACACGGTCCAATCTGCACACAGCCCGGGTCTCCGTAGGAAGCATTTCTCCCGAATTCCTGGTAAGCAAAATGCTTAACAAAAATGTAAAAATTCCCAGTAGTAGCCCACAGCCATGGTTCCTTGTGCATTTTCCTAATCCAACTCAACCAGTCCACAGCTATCACCTATTTATTTCCACCTTGTGCCAGTCTCTTCTTTTTGATTGGCCAGCTCTTTACAGAAGCAGAAAGGGGGTACTGATATGGCTGAAAAATAACCCCTTTTTCTGCCAGGTTCCTGTTCACCTGGATCAGCCCCTGGTAGCACACCAACCACTGCAGGGCTGGGATGCACCCACTGGAATGAGGGTTTGAGCCCAACCTGACCTGGGGCTGGGCATTTACCATCAACCCTCTCAACTGTTAAACATCACCTATCCCAAAACACTAAACAATTTTTTTTTTTTCTTTAAAACTCAGTACAGGTGTCCAGTGATGGGTGATTATGAGATTTCTGTCCATGCGATTTCTTTCTGGTCTGTGTTACACCCTCAACACAACACCTAGAGAGGAGGAAGCATTGCTAACTGGGGCAGGTTTGGTGGGTAGAATAGAAAAAGCAGTGTAGCATCCTGAAAAATAAAAGCAAAGATATACTGATAAGGAAAAGCTCAACACACTGAAAGGTCAGTGAGCTGCAGAAATTAGTTTCAGAAAATTGAAAGCAGTTGGGTTAGGGTTTTAATCTACAATAAGGGAGAAAAGCATTAGTAATAAAGGCATATCACCAGCGCTTCTCATCTTCCCCCACTATTTATCAGCCATACCATGGGACTTGCATGAACATTAAACACTGAACTGCAATTTTACAATATTCCTACCGGGCTTTGAGATTTATGAGAACAACAGAACACACATTTTTTATAGAAGCTTATGGTATAAAGGGAAAAAACAATATAAACTGCCCCCAAAGACTTACAAGAGTGCTAGTTCTCCAAAAGTTAGCACAGCTATTATAAAATATACTTATATAAAAAAGATGGCAACCTAACAGCTAAATGCTAATTGTCGGCAACATCTTAATTTATAACCATACCTGCCTAAATACATCTGCTGCAATAAATGGAAAGTTGAACTTTCATTAGTTTTCCCCTACTGCCCGGCTATTAAAAGTGTATAAATATGCATCACGAGTATCCTTCATCTTCTGGGCTTTTTTGGTGCAGGAGGTAATTCATGCTAAATTGGGAATATTTTAAGATATGGAGATTAGTAAACCTGCCATGTGTAAAGTCTATTGAGAAGGATTTATAGGTGAGTTATGATCAGCTGGTTGTACTGACTGTCATTTGTAGGAGAAATCTGAGCTTGGACAATAAGGTTATAGATTGTTCATCTCTTGCTGCTTCTCTTTAGCTCTCTGTGTTGGCTACACTGGGGCGGGCTGATAGAAGAGGAAAAAGCAAAAAAAAAAAATTAGCAAAGACAAGCGTTAATCACAAATTTGCTTCAAGTACTCCAAGACTGATATATTTAGCACATTTTATTTAACATGCTTATTTTTCTTGCTCAAAATGATAGGGGTTTGGAATAGCAATATTCCACGTATTCGTGTTCCTGGTCCAGCCTGGGTGTAGCACGTGGGCTGGCAGGACGGTCCCTTGCCTGCCATTAGCAATGGGATTTGATGGGTTATGGGTCTTCCAGCTAAGAAGAGGCAGCAGAGTGGAGTAGCATAAATGACAGAAAAATAAACTTTTCACCAAGATTTCATCAGGTTCTCTCAATTGTGAGCAAATAGGGTATATTTGGGGGGGTTTGCTGGTAAATATACTAGTGGTAACATATGTCTAGGGCAGTTGTTTTTTTCCTTTTTCACTGTGCCTGTGGCAAAAGAGAACTTGAACCATATGTTTTGTAACAAATGGTTACTCTCCTCATCTTATGGTGTGTCACAAAGGTTAGTACCCTCCAGCTCAGATTTTCCAAAAGCCTATGTGCCAATTGCCATTGAAATATAATGAAACTGGTGAACTTCTATTCTCTGGCTTCTCTGGAAAATAAAACCACAGTTGTACAGTTTCCTCTGGATGAATTTTTCATTAAGGCTTGAATTTCTGGACACACAATAATCATTCTCAACATGTAATATGTGTTTAGTAATCCTCCAGAAACACTGGTAGCTCTGGATGAAAAGCAGCTTTGTGTTAAAGCAGGTCTGCTATATTAAATTAATTTCTTTCACTTATGTAAGAACATTATTTTATGTTATGCTTCTGAAGGATAATGACCATTTGGAAATCATCATTTTCAAGGGGAAAGTTAATTAGTTTGTAGGTCATTTAAGAAATACTGTCTGAAAATGGAAAGTTAGAGATAAAAGTCATTTTCTAAAGGCAGTATACCTTCTTCTGTGGAATGAGATCAAGAGAAACCACAAAAACAAAACTATTAGCTACTTTTCAGTACAATGCAAATATCTCTTCACCCAGGTTCTTTGTGATTGTCCACAGTATTTTATCAACAACTGAAAAAGACCTTTCTGTTGTAGATCAGCGTTTCATATCCGAGTTTTTTGTCTGCGTTTAAGATCTTTAATAAGAAAGAGTCCTTTTATGTCACTGACTTTGTATTAGCTGCCAACGCCAGTGGTGTTGGGTCATGCCACAAAGATGCTATTAAATTAAAGCTTTTATATATCCTACTTCTATTTCTTACTAATTCCAGTGGGCCTGCATTTCATCTTAGAGACAAATATTAAAGGGTGGTTTTCATCTGGTACATAATTACCCAGATGCAGCCCCTTCTGACAGAGGCAGTATTGCAGAGCAGAGGGCTTGACCAGGCACGCACAGGATGCAGAATGAAGAAATAGAGATGTGAGCAGGAGATGGTATTTTCCTATCAGTATCCACTCGTTGACTCTTTGGTAAAGTGCTGCTAACCCAAAGCAATGTGTTCCTCCTGACAAAAATCTGAATCTGAATGGTTCGTTCACGTGCTGCTGTTGTAGAAAACGGATGTGATCTACCCAGTTATCTATGCAGGGACTTACAGTTACTTAACTGAGAGAAACTTTTTTTTTTCCTAAATTCAGTCATTCATGCCACTGCAAACTCATTGTCAGGAAACGGGTTGTGCATAAATTACAGGCTGGTGAAATTATCATTTAGAGCACAATTTTCCCTATCCAGACTTTTTTTTAGTGGTGATATTATACATACTCACGTACATATATTAAAAAAAAAAAACAAAAACAAAAACAAAAAAAAACAGGTTGACTTTTCTTTCTGATTCCAGACTATGGTAACAGGGATAACTGTGAATAAATGAAATGAATAGCAGTGATGTAGATCAAGTATATCAATGATAAAATGTGAATGAATCCACAGCTTCAGCCTCGACATCTCCATTCTCCTGGCAGAACATATCGTGAAATTCTGAAATACCCACGGCAGAGCCTGCAAAGGCTATATTACAGCTGTGGAAGCTATTCAAAGACTTAAAATGAACAATGAGAGTTTTATGTTTTTATTACTAAAATCGGAACACACGGGATATAGAATCACTGAATCAAAACACAAACTTAGAGTGCTCTATCACAGAGTTTCATTTCAGAGGGTATCACATTCCATATCTGTCATTTATGAGGGTCATTTTAAATGAAAAACTTTGACTTTCAAAATCACTCCCTTTTTTCAAAAAGAGAGATTGTTTTAATTTTGAGCAATTGCCTTGTTTCCCATACCACAGCTTAAAACCCCAAGAAGGTCACTGAAAAGAGGGATTTTTTTTGCAGCCTATCATGTTTAGTTGAAAAATGTCCAAACAATAGGACACAAAATAATGACACAAAACGCTAATGGCATCTCAGTGACAGATGCAGGGTCCTAATTCAGGGTGGCTGGAGAACCAGCAAGGAGCACACATTAATCACAGAACTGGACCCTTGTGGCTTTTATTAATTGCACTACTCTAGTCTACAAACATTCCACCAGAATTAGTTTTGCCACTGCTGAAACAAAGTCTTCAGAAAGAAGAGAATGACAAGAAAATGAATGGCAACATTATCACTCTTTTAAGCATATCAGGCAGGGATGCATTTCATAAAACCCAAGAAGGTTATTCAAAGAAGTTACAGACTTTCAAGTGGCCAAAACAGATTATTCTAGCTGCCCTATGAAGGTCAGAAAGAGTAATTAATGAGGTGAAATTGTATATTTTTAGCTTTAAAAAAAATTAAAAGGATCTTTTAGTTTCCTCAATGAAGAAAAAGTTTTAAACCGTGCTGATTAATAGTTACTACCACACTTATACCTGTATACTAGAGTGAGTCCAAAGGCTACAAGAAAGTTGAGAAGGAGTTTCACTACTTGAGAAAATGGACGATGGTTCATGACTGGATCCTGAACTGGGACTTGATGAGTTCAAAATACTTTCTACTTGTTTTACCAGTAACTGAAGACTGCAACTGCAACTCAGAAGTCCACTATCATGTTGTGCAACAAGGACCATTTTTCTATTTTATATCAACACTGTTCCAGACTGTTATCATTGCTAAAAAAGATGAAGCCAGGGCTCTTTTTCTTATCACATTCTCTTTCTCCTTCCCCGTGGTAAGTGCACAGCGATGGTTTCTGATTAATAGCAAGGACTTGTTCCTCAGTATTGTAGAGTTTTCAGACTTGCTGAGCACAGTACATTTTATTTCATTTCAGCTGAATGTGAAAGATGACCTATCACGCAGTGCTTGTGATTTTCCTTTAAATCACTGAACATCAGTGTTTTAGGATTGGGTATAGGTGGCACACAAATGCTCACTTCCAGTCTGATAAAAGAATAATAAGACAATGGACCAAATGCACTGCAGTCAACTTTATGTTCATCTGGATTTTCCATGCCAAATAGCTGCCCCTAATGTTGCTGGGAGTCCCCCATCTTGTTGCAAGAGCAGAAATTGTTTTTATAATATTACTGTGGGCAAATTATTTAGATCGTCAATTTTCTGTTTGTGACTAAATGCGATTCACTTATTCTAGCACAGCTTAAAGAGTTGATCAGTGGGAACAGAAACAGCATTGTATAGCAAAATGAAACAGATAAGCTCTACTTTTCTGAAGGCTGCATGGTTACATTAAAAAGTTCATTGATTGTTCTTGTGGAAAGAAAAACAAATTTATTTCCTCTAATTACAAAGGAAATGTCAAGCCTGGAATATTCTCAATAGATTTTTCCATTATTGTTAGTGCTTCTTCACATAAAAACATATTGCCTATTAACTTACTCCCTTGAGCCATTGTTAGTCCTTCTTCTGTGACCGGCTTCCCACAGCCTTTGACTGTACAAGCCTTGACATAGAATTTGTACTTGGTGCTGGGGCTGAGACCCGAGAGCCTCCAGCTGAGCGTGGAGCGGTTGGCTACGCTGATGTCGTTCAGAGGTCCAATTTCATGTGTTTCGTTTACTGAAAGGGAAAAGGCAGTTGAGTCAGATCCGGCAGCTAAAGGCTACGAACATGAAATGTGTCATGAACACTCCTGCAAAGGAGGCACTCAGCAATAAGGAGGAAGGATGGAGTCTGAATAAGCATCTCTCACCTTCCTGCCAAGCACTTAAATAGGATTTATCTCCTCTATGTCAATCTTCCAAAGACCTGATGAGCTATTACTGTTCTTAAAAAGCTCTATGATTCTAGATATGCACATACTGAGTGGGAGGTAAAACCTACTGTCTCCTAGATCATTAAATATCTATGAATTGCTTTTTGCTTCCAAACATCTGCAAACTTTTGCAAGCAAGAGAACGGATGGCTGTTCCGCTTTGCGCTGCTCTGTCTTGGCACAACTGGCAGCTGAAGGAGGGGTTGTCCCTCCCAAGCTGCCTAAATAGATGGATCCACATCCACATCCACCTGTTATCATCAAAGGGAAGATACAGCCTTCAGCCCGTGCTTGCAAAAGCAACTGAGCAATTCTGCTATCAGCAGAGAGATAAGTGAAAAGTATGTGGACTTTTTTTTGTGAATAGGGCACAGTCGAATCCTGTTCCATCCTCAAAGGTCATTTAAATACCCTGAATTGTCACCAGCTGGTGTCATGGCAGCCTGGGTACAATCCTGGATCCTGCCAGAGGTTATCTGCTCAAAGTCTGTGTCCCAGCTGCTCAGTTTTTCATAGGCATGAAAGAAAGTCTTCTGCACCTCTGGTATTTTAGTTGTTTCTCAATGTGGTTGCTCAATAACATGACCCAAGTGGTAGTTGGCTGCATTTCTGCTGAGGTGTACAGGGAGAAGGTGCTCACAGATATAATGTGAGCATCTGAATACATGTCACTGAAGTGCTCTCATCACAAATTATTTTGCATTGAATGAGTTTCACTTCAGTAAAATGCACCTAAAATTTATGGGTCTTCATAACTAGGGTATTAGGTATAATTTGCAAATATGAAATAATTGAATTAGTCTATAAATGTGGAACAGGGTATGGCAGCAATGCGATCTTACGTCCGAAAAGCATATGGTTTGCTCTGGAAGATGACTTTGGCCTGCCCTCTAGCAGGCTGTGCACACATCGCAGCTCAAAACACGCTGTTCTGATGCTATGGCTGTTGCAGGGATCTCAGAAAGAGCCCTTCTCGTCAGCCTCTGGTTTAAATAACTGTGCACATGTAAACTTTTTTTTTAAAAAAAAAAAAAAAACAAAAAACTAATAATGCTTAAATTCTAAAATCAAAGTAAAACAAACACATACTTATCTGGTATTGCAAAATGTAACCAGTAAGGTGGCCGTTTGCTTTCTTGGGAAGTCCCCATGAGAGAGTGACAGAGTCCTTGTCGAAGTTCAGGATCCTTAGAAAACGTGGTTGTTCAGGGACTGGAAGATACAGAGGCTGGCTTACAGAGAGGACTGGACAGGTCTGTCTCTACACATACTTGTTAAATGAGCATGTAGTTTAGCTCAACACCTAGTGAAGGGTTTTATGAATATTGGAGATTTTGCGATCACTTTAATTTATTAAATCAACTTGCCTTGTTATATGGATGATTTTTGTTTATGTCCCTCCATCCCATATTCTCCTTTTGTCTTACCTCCTTCTGGAGTTTCGAACACAATGGGGGAGCTTTCCGGGCCATCTCCTTTGGTGTTGTAAGCCAAAACACTTAAGCGGAATTCACTGAAGGGCTCTAGACCAGGAATCATCCCATAGTTTCTGTCTCCTACAAATGTTAGGAAGTGTTTCTCTGGGTGATGCCTTTTTCCATCCAGCATACTTTTTGTTTTCCACCAACTGACCTGCATTGAGATTGGCAATTCTATAACAAATTGTGTTGTATGGGGCTGAACACAATATTGCCTTCTCTCATCTTCCCAGAAATGAGAGATTGCAATCTATCCTTGATCTGGGATTCATTTAGTAGTTTATTCAGTTATACACAAATATTTAAAGATAAATTAGTAACCTTATAGCCTCTTAAATGTCCACGAACTCTGTCCCTTGGTATTCCAAACCAGAAGACTTTGACCAGTGTGCTGTTCACAATATCCACCGATACGCCAGAAGGAGCAGCATCTGGAACTGTAAAAACAAAAGTATTGCATATTAAAGACACTTACAAGAGCTCAGTTTCACACTGTTCACAGCTACAGGGCTTAGCTTTCCAGCTCAAGCTGTGGCACTTCATGCAGTCTTACTGCAGGTGAGAAAAAAGCCATTCTACCTGCATCCGGTGGGTGAAATGGGCCAATAAACATTATTTTGCCATGTCAGGGCTTTCTGATGAGGGCTGGAATACAGGTGCACTGGGACATATGAATTTCTACACCAGTATTTATTATTTCCTGTTTCAAGTAATGCTTACAGCAGTGAGAAGAATAAAAAAAATTATTAACATAGCACTCAAGAAGGCAATCATAAAGGGGTTTTTTTTATAATCAATTTCATTTTACAACTAAGCTCATTAAACAGTAGGATTTTCATCACTACAGAAAGCTATTATAGTGCTTGAAAAAAAGAGGCCTTGATCCATTGACAACCGAATTGCAAGGAAGATTTTCCACTGATAGATATAAAATTAGATCCATCACAGACACATAAAGAAAACAAACATGCTGCAGAGCTTCTTTCTCTCTATTCCCAGTGTTCACCCTCTCGCCTGCCATACACTCTACAGGGGAAGAAAGATGTCCACCAAACCTTCCCATTGCCCCCCTCTGGGTGTGCAGCAGGGATTCTCCCATCTGACTAGCACCAAGACCATTCCCAGCACTGAAGTGTTAAGCTGGTGAAACACCAGGAAGCCCTCAGCAAGTTGCAAACATCAAGCTGGTCCATTCAGGGGTTGATGACGCAGATCTTGGTGCATTCACTCAATGAGAGGAGTGCTCCAGAGAGCCTGCCTTAGGCTTTGCTTCCCTCTGTAAAGCCAGTAATGTTTCTTACGTCTGTGGTTATCACAGCAACTCTACTGACCGTTTGTCCTGATTTCAGCTGAGACAGAGTTAATTTTCTTCACAGCAGCTAGTGTGAGGCTGTGTTTGGTTTTGTGCTGAGGAGAAGATGATCACACACTGATGGTTAGAGCTGCTGCCAGGACAGTCAAGGACTTTCCAGCTTCTCTGCTGTGCGCGTGTCTGCAGGGGCAGGAGAAGCTGGGAGGGAGCACAGCCCCAGTTACTAGCCCAGGATTCGACCTTAGGTTTAGGATTGAGGCCGAAATTGGCCAATGGTCTATTCCATACCATGCACGGCATGCCCAGTGTAGAGGTGAGGCTCTGTCTGGAAGGGCTCTCTCTTGCTCTGGATTGTCTTCCTCTGGGTCTCCCCTCTCCTGGGGTTGTCTCAGTCTTGGACACTTGGGCTTTTATCTCCATTATGGGATTGTGGCTTTAAGACTCTCCCTGCTCCGGGATCGTTACCAGAATAGGCTGAGCCTTGGTCATGTGGTGGTGAGCCGGTGAGCCGTTGCAAATCACTCGTTTGTCTATTTGTCTATATTGCTATCACCATTATTATTATTGTTATTTCCAATATAATTGTAGTTTAGTTATTAAATTGTTCTTATCCCAACTCTGTCTGGGGTTGTCTCTCTTGGACACTCAGGCTCTTATCTCTATTCCATGACTGAGGTTTTGGGACTCTCCCTGCTCCAGGATCCTTATCTGGGAACGGGCTGAGCCTTGGTCATCAGGTGGTGAGCAGTATCACTGTGTATCACTCCTTTGTATATTTGTCTAATTATTATTATCATCACCATCATTATTATTATTTTCAATAGTATTGTAGTTTAGTTATTAAAATGTTTTTATCTTTACCCAACAGTCTCTTTTCCCTTCACCCCTTTTAATTCTCTCCCCCATTTCTGGGAGGAAGGGAAGAGGGAGGGTGAGTGAGCAGTGTCGTATTCTTTTGCTGCCAGCTAGGCTAAAACTACAACACAGTTTCATATCACCTACCACAGATCACGGTGCTGCATAACGGCTTCTGCAAGAAGCTGCAGCAAGTGGAGAGGCGGGAGCAGCAGCCCTCATACTACTGTGACTGGAGAGTGACTGCTGCAGGACGTGGTGGGTTAAATAAAGGATGTGGCTGGCTGGTCGTTCTAGTAAGTGGCAAACACATGGCTGTCTTAGTTGCCTAATCCACTGTAGACTTTTCAAAGGCCATTCAAACTGTCGGTTTATTGCATTCTTATGAAAACAACTTAAAGACTTCAGATTCTGCATGGGATAAGAACGTTCTGACTTTAATAAAATTAATCTGCAGATCTGAAATGTGTATCGTTCACTGGTGCTCCTGGCCCCTCTTTGCCAACAGCTCCCAGCTCCTGCTGCTAAACATTTGCAAATTCAATAGGCATTTGTGTGTGGGATCAGAGAAGCTTGGCACCCCAGGCTGGCTGGCCACCATGTTGTTTATTCCCTTGCCGATTTAAATCCTTAAATCCTACAAAAAAAAAATTTTTTTTTTTTTTTTGGTGGTGTTAGTGCTTAACTGGGTTGCTTCCTAAAGTGAGGCTTGGCATTTCTTCACTGCAGCTGCATACATTTCCAGTCCTCCAAATGTCTTCTGTAGCCATGCAGTAAACACCAAAGGGGACAAGCAGCTGTTCAGATATGTTGGGGTGGCCTCAGCAGTGACATTATATGTCCCATGGATGTAGCAGGCTGTCACATCCCACATAGCTCCGGCATTAATTCTATTCACAAGGCAATCCTCCTGCGTGCTCACCTCTCCTAATGGGAAATTATTATTAAAGCCCACCATGAAGCTGGAGCTTCAAGAGCATGTGCAAAGGGTGGGGATCATAAACAGCTGCTGTGATTTCAGAGCAGCCCAGGGCATCTGCTTTGTGAAAGTGGGAGGTAAGGGGAGAAAGCCTCTTTGTTTTGTCCGGCCTGGATGACACACTGTGGGACAGGTAGAGTGCAAAATAAGATATGGGCAGGCACTGAGAAGACCCAGAGAGGAGGCTTGGAGCAGGAGTAGACTCAAAGCAAAGCCTCACTGTGGAGGAAGACTTCTCCAGAGACACCCAGAGGCTGGAGATGGGGCTGTGTCACCAGGGAGCCACAGAAAGCCACTGGAGAGAAAACCAGGCTGGAGAAGAGAACCCGTTCTTCAAGGACACAATGAACAAGGTAACACCCAGCATACATGGGAATACAGCATCATCTACAAATTCATTTACAATGCCCAGTGCCTGAGTGTTTGTACTTAATTGCCAGTGTTAAACTGTTGAATCAGGCTCCAGACAAGCTAAAGATTTTTTTCTCACCAAGTACAACACAACGACTGCTATACTTCACAGACTTCTTACGGACTGTGGCCTTCAAACAAGCATTCAAATCAAGCCAGCAATTGAGATTAATGAATGCACAAGTGACCTTTCCAAAAAACCCTCAAACTCCATCAAGCTGGCATCCATGGTACCCAGCATCACTTGTATCTGTGTCTCAAACAGAACTTCACACTGAGTGCTGGCATTTAAGCAGTTTTGGCCGTGGGCTGCCTAATTTGCCACTCCATATCCGATCATTTTCCATCACAAGAATTCCCCACGCACCGTATTTTTACATGAAAGTTTCCGCTACTTACCATCTTCCCCTGAATATCCGATGGTTACATTTGGTTCAGGACCAGATCCTAAATTATTTACCGCTTGGACTTTGATCTCATAAGGCACAAAGGTGGGGGTGTTTCGCAGGGTAAGAGAATGTTTCTTCACTGTCTCCTCGTTCCAGTCCGCCTCGACCCCCCGCTGCCGCCAGCTGACTTTGTACTCCAGACCTGGCCCGTTCCTCTCTATGGGTTTCAATGGCTGCGGAAGAAGTTAAAAGAGATCCCGTGTGCCTTTGTTCCAGTAATCATGAAACAGCAACTGAGGGGAGGGGGGGAATAATTTTGGAGAGCATGTTACGATGTTGGGAGAGAAAAGGGGGAAAAAAGAAAGCTTTAACTTTTTTGCTTTTGTGTTAATTTTAAGATGTCTGGATGAAAAATGTCATGACTTCCAGAGGAAGGTGGGTGAAAGGCAGAGAAACAGTTGGATTAAAACTAGATTAACTTCTAGTAGACATATTTCTGCATAAAACATACACCAGTTTCTGTTTTGCCACAGGTTTTCTTTGGGGGTTTTTTTGTGTGATGTAAAACCGCATGCCTTTTAGCATAACTGAAATGGCATAAGTCTATGTGTGCTTTTCAGTACAGCTAAAATCTGTGTTTTATCTTAGAATTTTATGTAGCACAGCAAGTTGGGTCATTAAAATTTAGATTTGTTCTGAATACACACCAAATGCTTGAAAATACGCCTGGACCTTTAATGTGCAACTGCTGCGCTACTCTTTTTAACCGATCAGCTGAAGAATTCATCACAGCATGGTTCCTATCTAGTTAACATTAATTTATAAAATATTAGAAGATGTATAGTAACAGCTTGTCATGAAACATGCTCCAGTTGAGTTTATTTCTCTGAAAAGGTATTTCTTTAATTAATAAAGTTAACCGGTCACCTGCACTACCGAAAAACGATGAGGGTTATTTCAGCCCACTGAAACAGCTGTGGGCATTTCCCACCATATAGCTTATTTTTTAATATTTGAATTATATATTGTACTTATGAAATACATAAGTATACATATAGATATGTATTCAAGCCGCATCAGAGGTCTGAAATGAAATGGCAAGTGCCAGCAGAAAGTGATGCCCCCTTGATGCTCTTCATGCATGGGGGGACCTAGGTCTGGGGGATCTGCAAAAATTCCCACTTCTCTGCTCTGAGGTACGAGGACCTTTGGGATGACTGTGGCAAAGGAACCAGCAGACTGGGCAGCTTTCTAACAGGTACCGCTGGGAGAATCACCTCCATGGCAAAGATCCCAGGGAACGGGATTTGCAAGAGAAGCTGAAGAAGTAAAAAATTCCCACTGAAAAATAACTTCTCGTTTGGAGTTGAATTGCCAGCACTGCTTGACTCTTATTTTGATCTCCCTTAATTCTGCAAATCCTTGGCTGAAAAGCTAGTCAGTAATGCTCATCTGGTCTCTTAATCCAAAATAGGCAGATTAACATCATTTTGCAGCCTTTGTCTGCCAGAAATAGCATGTTCAGTGCCTTCATTTCCTCTGAAAAGCATACAGGACACACCACAAATAAAAGAATATCCCCTTTAAGACATTTAAATGATTCAACAATATTTAACAAAGCCTGTCTATCCCATTTTCTCCCTTCAGTCTCGGTTTTCACTTCTACTTTTGCCCTGTCTGAGCAGTGGATTATGGGTTTCCTGGCAAGGAGGAATGCCTGTTCTCTGTTCAGCAAAGTGTTCAGCCTGCTGCTGGTCACAGCAGCATTTCCCAGCCATGGTGGTTACTACCACTCTGCATTTCTTCCAAGAAGCAGGATTGTCTTCCCTGACCCTGAGCTATGTCATACAGCAAAAACCCCCATCCACATGAGACCTTGAGGACCATCTCCTTCTGGTGTAACTATAGCCTAAACTATGAATTCACACTGGGGAAACATTTATTGTTCTTTGCTGCGAGCAGCAGATTGAGAAGTAAATCTCATGTAAATTGTGTTTCATTCCAGCCACAAAAATTATGCTTCCTTACACAGTTGTTGAAATTTGTGTTAAATTAAAGAATATATATCTTTCTAAACTGTTGGCACAGAAGCTGTAAGCTTAAAAGCCAGGGAATTTGAAGACTGGAAACCACCCTCCAGACTTTTATGCAACTCCTTTGGCACACATGCTTATGAGCTTTATCTACGCTTGTTTAGTTCTTGAGTAAAAATTCAAGCTCACATTCTCTTGGTCAAGTGATCACCGTGCTTCATAGGACTCTCATATTTCTTAATAGCCTGTGAAAGTTAGATTTAAAAAATTGTCTTTTGAAACAACAGTGAAACTGGGGGATGAACATATTTAGATCAATAACAACTTTATCTTTGATTTCAAGAGCATCAAGAGTCCTACCTATGGAATTTGATAACACTTCCTAAAAAACTAGGGAAAGGGGAGATAAAGTCAAGGGATCCAGTAATTTTTTTTATTGTATTTATATTAAAACAACATCCTGATAACTAGAATAGTTTAGAAACTACTGCTTGAAGGGAGAACCTGTTACCGATACTGTAACACTGACAGACACATTTGACTTACCTCCCATTTCATCACCATTTCATTTGGCTCAGAAGCTTCAACTCGGATGTTTTCTGGATTCTTTTCTGGAGCTAGAACCACACAGGTGACAAGGTTAGTTTGCACATCCTGTTTTTAATTTGCATTTAATATTTCAATGCAAAAAATGGATGCAAAATTATTTCTTATTTCTCTATTACTGAGAGTGAAAGTCACCTAAACAAAAAACATTCACAAGATTAATTACTTGGATCAGCAAAGCTGCTGTGATGGAAAACACATTCTTTATGCAGTTTTAATTCCTAAGTGCCCTTGTTGGTTGGAGCCACTAGCTAACAAGAAACTGTGACTTTTGGATTTCAAACCACCAGATGTAGAGGGATTACGAGGAAGTGATTTTTCTCCCCATGGGGATCGTAAACAGCAGGTATATCATTAGTGGGATGCACACAGCTCAAAAGCTGAAGAAGGACCTGAAATTGAAGTAAAGGGAGAAAAAAAGAAAGAAAAATGCTGTGGAATGCAAATGCTGTGCTGAACAGTTGGCCTCCAAAATGACTTTCAGGAACACACCATTTCCTGTCATGGTGAGAAATGAACCGTGAATGGAGATTTTTTACAAGCTTAGCACTGCTGAAAGGCTCCCCATAAACCTCAAAGATCCTCTCCAACAACTGCTTGTCTGTAGAGGGCTGCAACGGGCTTTAGAGGTGCAAAATCAGCAGAGCTCAGGAACGTGACATGCTAGAGGGTGGTAGGAGCCCTCTGCCATCCACAGCAGGGTCAACTCTTCTCTCTGGCATCCCTGGGCAGCTACCGAGCAGTGAAAGCAGCACAAGTGACCCGGATGCCTTTACATCCCCTCTGAAGCACAGGGGGGTAATGTTATTCCCAGCAGAACACTAAAAATAGGAATAGTCAGAAAACTAGATGGCAGTGTTTACCAGCCGGTGGAGTTGCATAGCGCAGCGATGGTTTACTAGGCTGGCTCCTTCCGACAACGTTCACCGACACAACACGAAACTGGTAATTCATATATGGGGCCAGCGCCAAAAGGACAGTGGTGTCATTCCCTGGGGCTCGGGTTAGCTCTTGCCACCTCCCCGGCTCCCACCGGTTCTCTTCAAACTCTATAATGGACTCTGGAGAGGAAAAGAAACAAAGCAAAAGAAAAAAAGGCAGAACTTGAATAAAAGGCTTATAAATAACAAGGATGGAAATTAACTTACAACAAATTAACTGTCATAGGAAAACCGATTAAGTATGGCTGTGAGCATGGTTTGTTTCTTCTAACAGCCATGACGTGCCATAATGCTAAATAGCACGAGATGATGCTGCTAAAATCCTTCCTACCATTAATAGGGCTGTTATGACTGGCCCCAGCTTTCCAGGATAGTCGAACACTTCGGTTTTGATTTTCTGACAGCTGAAGGTCTTCTGGAGGATCAGGAACATCTGAGAAATAATGAAGAAGTGTCAGGAGCATGGCAAGCTATTTCTGTTTGTCTAGGCATTTTCTGAAGGACTGGAAGAGCAAGCTCAGTGAAAATGGGGGTAAAACATCTTTTGATTCCAAAGTGGATAAAATTAGGAAAGTGATAATTCCTTTTGAAGATCCTTTTTATGGCAGAAAACCGAGCTGAACCCTCTGGTCCTGCTTTCTCCCTTATAAATGCAATGTCCCCTCATGAGTTCATTTCCATCTACTCTCATTACTGTGCTTGCAGCAACAGATTTTTCTTTGCAAATCAACACTAAGATCTATTGAATCATTAATAGATATTGACACTGCTCTTAGCAGAAAGTTATATCAGCATCACTTGGATTTACTCTGGTGCAAACCGGAGTGGTAGAAGGTGACTCAGCTCTGACAGTTATCGAACTTGGCCTTTTAGAGTAGGAGTGCAAGGATAACACTCATTATCCCTGCCATGGGGATCTATATTAAAAAGAAACAAGAAAATTCATTGCCTGCCAGCTCAACTAATGCTGTCCAAAGAATATATCAGAGTCAGTTGGTGGTGGCTGGTACAAGTGCGGGACTACGCGAGCCCTGAGCATGGGACTACCGTGATGCTCCCAGAGCTCACTTTTTGGGGATGTGGTTCCTGCCCCTTAACCTGGGCTGAGTGAGGTCCTGATAAAACTTCAAACCAGCATCCCTGAAGTAGGCAAGGGGGGGCACATGTCCCCAACACCACCTGGTTCCTCAACAGCATTAGGGACAGAGGAGGTGATCGGTGGCATGGGTTGTTTGCCAGATTGCCTGTAATTGAACAAACACTTTCAAATTTAGCAGATCCAGACTTACAGATGTTTATCTTCCTTATGGCTTGCCTTGAGAGTTTGCAGCCTGACTGTATTGGATTAATTTGTTAACAGAAATGTGTAGGGTCTGATGTAAAAGAGTGAATTCTCACTGTAGGGGGCTGATGGTAACCCCTCATCCTTCCAAACTCACACATACACACTCCCCCTCCCTAAACATAGGGCTTGCTTTTCAAAATCTGAAAAAATGTGCAGAGCAAGGAAACAAGATCTTCCTGCTGCCCCAATGCCCCAACTACATTTTTGCCTGATGGGGTCATTTCTTATAGGGAAAACAGCTACCTCAAGCACCAAGACTGTCTCTGGCATTGTGAAAGAAATTCATTGTGTCTCTACTGATTTTTTTAAACGACAATACAGAGTTTTCTTCTTTATCTCTGGGTACATCAAAAAGTTTAAAAGGTTATATTTGGGATGGGGTTTTTTCTTTTAGTTTTATTTGCATTTCTGTCCCCTATTTCTGTTGTACCTGGAAAAATCAGGGCTGTTCTATTCTTGGAGCATATCTGGTGTTAAAATTCAGTATATTAATCTAAAGACAGCAATGGTGCATCTTAAAGATATCCCTCCATCTGTTCATTAATCATAGAACAAACACTTAGAAATATTCTAACTAAAGATTTCTTTTGCTCTTAGTTGCCCATATTCTGATGTCTCCACCTGTGCCGTATTTAGTTCTTGAACCATCTCACAAGTCCTTCATTGCAAAAGAAGCCTGAATTTTTAATTTGGACAATAACAAATATTATTAATCCACCAAGATCTTTCTTATACACAATAAACAGGGGGAAAAGAGCACAAGACTGTTTTTCCTCTTCTGCAAGTCACCTTTTTAAAGGGAATAAAGTGCTTCATGAAATTTTCATAAGTAACGTAACGAATGGTCTACAAACATTTTGAATTATACAGCACTGAGGAACACAGTAGCATAAATAATGTGCATAACATTTTCTTAATTCACTATTCACTGAAAAATACCAATCATCTAAAGTGTGAAAACATCTTGAAGGTCCAATTGTCTTAGTTCATGTTGCAATCACTGCCAGAAATAAACAAAAATGTAAAACGAAGCAAACTGTAATGAAATTAAACCACAAAACAGCATCTTAGCTATTGGCTGATGCCTTTAGGCACACGTGCAAAGGACTGCACACCACAGCACAAGTTCATCCTCTTAGTTTCAAGTGGTCCTTCAGGAAGGGTGGCAGTCCCTAGGGATCCTCACATAAGGTCAAGCTTCAGGCTCTGTGGGTTGAGGGTTTTCTCTGCTGTGAACTTGCCGTTTGCCACTGGACAATAATTTATCCTCAGGTTCACAGAGCTAATTAATCCTTTTAAGTGTTTAACTTTCACTGATCTTCAGAGGACTTGGATATCTAAATACTGGCCTTATGTCTTCTTCAAAACATAGTCCAAGTGGTAAATTGTGTGCAAATCTCCAGTAAAGTGGGGTGAAGGACTGACAAGGACTTCAAAGCAGAAGCAGAGCCATTCTTAATGTGCTATTACACCTTCCAGCCTGGGCAAGCTCCTACAGCTATTGGGGCTGACTCCTGAGCTGAAAAAAGTCTGTCTCATCTGAGGTATAACAAAGCTGATTAAATATAAATGAAATGTTTGTGTCAGCATCCCCCTTCCAGGAGACACAAGGATAGCACAACTGAGGCTAATGAGTGAGAAGTAAATCACACCTCTGTGAAACTGGGTTATTGAGGCTCTGTAACTGACCTGGGCAGAAGAAGCAAATAGAGAAAAGTGCTGCAATGGCGTGATGTACTGCACGGAGCTGTGTGCGTGCCAAGAAAATATCCTCTTACCAAGAACAACCAACTGCGATTTGGCTGTGACGCTGTCCAGAGAAGTGCTTGCCACACACGTGTAAACTCCTTCATCCTCCAGTGTCACGCTTGATATGAACAGTGTATCCCTGTCAAGAATTATCCTACAGGGAAGAAAAAAAAGTACATACAAGTAAGGAAGAGAAAAAAATATGTAAGATAAGCACATCAGAGACAGACAGTGTTGTTCTCTGAAAAACTGTTCATAAAAAAACTTGGTAGCAGGACATTTTGAATAACGTAATTGCATGTTAAGCCTATTATTTTAAAATGTAATTGTAGCTGTATTATACACTGTGCTGTAGACTATTATTTGTATTTTGTAGCTATTTAGCCTCCATGGCTGGAAGCTGGCATGTCTTGCTCGGTCTGAAAAGAGCCACATTGATACCCATCAGCATATCAACCATGGAACACAGACTTTTGGCACATCATTAATGAGGCAAATACACGGACTTTATGTCCGAATTTTTGACAGGGTTGAGTAAAACTGAACATTCCCAACCCACTTGTGTGATGTCCAATGCACTAGAGGAAGCTGGCATTAGCCCAGGCTCATGGGCTCTGGTGCAAATGTGGCATTTACTTGGCGCTATCTCCCCACGCTACATGGCCTCAGCAGGATCTTCAACCTCTCCAGCACTGTAGGATTTAGGAAACCATCTCTCTTCTGTGGTAATTAATAAAGACATCTGATTGTCCCCTGTGGGACCCTTCAGATGGAATAAAGGCTGAGCTCCATCCCCTTAAGGTCAATGCAAATACAAGATTAGGGCAAAATTCAGCCTGCCCTTGCAAGTCCTAAACTCATACACAAGAAAACCTCATTAAAAAACATTAAAATTGTTTTTAATTGTGTATGATTTTAGGCAGAATCCCAGAAATTTGTTTTACATTCCTTTTAACATTAGAAGGACTTGCTTTGGCCAAACAGGTATAAACCACGGGAAAATAACAGTTCCACTGAAGTGGAGAAACAAAACCCCAGTTGACTGCACTGGGGCTAGGGTTGTATTTTTGGGTTCAACCAACATATAGGCAATATTCTGCTCTGATGGTGAGAGAGTTAGTAAAAACCAGAAACATTTGCTAGCCGTGGCTCAGAACTCATACAGATGCATTTGTGTTTATGTGCGTGTAAAATGCAGATCTATTCACATACTGCATAAAGAATTCTTGCAGACACAAATTTGCATTTCAAGCTATTAAGTCTCATGTTTATTGAAACTCACGTTCCCACACCATACAGCATTATTCAGCTGAGATCAAGAAAACTCTTGTTTCTTCCCTGCTTACCTGCCATCTTCCGTGTTGTTGACTGGCAGCTCATCTCCATCTTTCCTCCAGGATAATTTAAAACTGTGTTTCAAGTGTGAATCATACTCAGACTGACATTTCAATAAAATTGAATGTGATTTCAACACTCGGGGGTTCTTCGGAGTAACAACAACTTCTGTAGCATCTGATTGATCACAGAAAAACACTTTGATTAGGAGAGAGAGACTATTACATCAAATTTTCACCAAGCACTTCATATATAAAAATCAACCTTAAGAGCAAGGATCGTGTCTTTTTTGTTATATTTACACAAACACTTCAAGTGAAGGATGGTTGTTTTTGAAATAGATATTTGCCAGGATTTAATTTTCTGTCTTGAAAAATTCTTTTTTAGCTCACTCCAAACCAAAGAGCTCCAGAAAAAAAGAAAACAAAACCACAGAAAAAGTCACAGGTGAAAATCCTTGTTAGCAGACTGTCATGAAATGGATGATATAAAAAAAGGCTCAAATATGATTTTTATGTCCAATTGCCTTTTGAAATAGGCTTTGGCAACAATCCAAGAAAAATTACAGGCTTATTAAAGTCAAGTGAGAAAAAATTATTGCAATCAAGTTTGTTCTTTTAATTGACTCTAATCTGAATGCAGAAACAGATGAATAAGTAAGAAGAAAGCAGTTGGCTGAATTACTTTTTACAGTGAAATGTTGTTCTGTGAGAATTTCATTGTACATTTTCATGTTTATTATCACTGTAAAATTTACAAAGCAAAGGGAGTGGGTGGAAACAGAATACAAAAAGAGTGTTTCTTTCTGAAGTTTGTCACAGCAAAGCCACATCCGAGAGTCCTTTTGGGCTCTGCTAATTGAGTATTGAAATTTTACTTTATTAGCAAGCCCTAAATCCTAAATAAATTTGTGTGCAACCTACTAAATTTAACCTGTGTGCAGGACAGAAGCTGTCCACTTACTGTCACCCCACCTGGGAAAAAAACCCTCCTGTCCAACCACCCAAACAAATCTCTTTAAACAGAATTACAGCACTAGGTATGTATATGAAATGTATGAGTAAATGTATTTCAGTAATTTTTTTCTCTATTTAAAAATACTCATCAAGTTGATAATAAGGTAAAGGCCCACTGCAAATCCCTCAAACCAGCAGCATCCTCTAATCCATCGTGCTTGGTGTTCGCTTCCAACGTTCACTCAGTTTGGGATTGGATCAAGAGACGGGAAGCAGGTTTAGGGAAGGAGGAAGCCCATGGCTGGGGGAGTTGCAGGACCCTGTCCGGCTCAGCCAGAACCCCACCCAGCCCCCGAGTGCAGGGAAGGCTCTGGGCTCCCAACAGCCATTCAAGAACCTCGAGTGCAACAGGGCTGATGGCAAGAAGGAGGGAAAATACTTTCAAGGTAATAAAGTGAATAGCTCTGGGAAGTAAACTGCAATTTTTTTGTGGCTTATGCAGCTTCTGGAAGTGTCAAGAAGAAAGTAAATATCACCTACGAGCATGGAGAAATCACACAGCAAAAAGGAGACAATCTAACTGCTGCATATATATGAGACCTGAGGCAATTTCAGGTCTCTGTACACAGAGAATTTATACTCTCACAGAATAAGTCCGTATTTTGGACTGAATATTTACTCATTACTTATTTACTGAACATTTTATGTATAGAATCTTAGCAGATGTCAAAGGTCTTTCCTTTCATAAGTGAGACATTACCCCTTATATCCAGATTAGCAGTGATTGCTCTTTTTCCAACGGAGTTTGCAGCCCAGCAAGCATATGATCCTGAGTCCTCCTTTGTTGTTTCTTTGATCTCTAGGGTGCCATTCTTATTTAACTCATAGCGTAGTGTTGAAAGTGGCTCTATGCTGTCATCCTTAGTCCTAAATAGGATAACAATAGTTATGGGTTATTTCTAGGGCCGCAGGATCTGTTACTGCACGGTTAACAGACACTGCAGGGACACAGGAATTTTGGGAGGTAGTCTCAGCTCTAACACTGAGTGACCAAGTCAAGCTTAGCAAGTCACTTTACCCGTGCACAGGCAAATCGTAACACTTCCTGCAAACCAAACCCACACTGACAGCATCTAGCAAAGTCTTTGAACTAGTCTGTCTGAGTCATTAATCTATAGCTGTCATCTGCAATTTTAATACACCTGTCAAGCGCTATGACAATTCTGTGATTTCCAGCCCTATGGAACCATTTACAGGTAAATATGCTCAGTAAGTCATTGGGTTTCCACCTCAGTAATATGTCCAAACTTTGAAAGTTGCCAAGATTAACTAAGGCTGATGAAGCTGTAGGAGGGGTTTGGCTATACCAAGCATGGCTTGGTCTAATGAATATCCCAGCACTTGTCTGACACGGGTATTGAGGACTTTCATTAACGTTTTTTATAAACCAGTTCTTCAGGGTTCTTGAAAGTGGATTTATACACAGAATACTTATATACAGTTTGTTATAAATTTCTAATTTTAACTCCATAAAAATAATAGGTGACACATTTTTTTAAATTTGGGGAGCCTGCATGAACTTGTTTCACATGAAAAGTTCAGTTATCAGTGGCTTACCATCTAATATCTGCTGCAGGCGAGGCAAAAATTTCACAGTGCAAGAAGGCACTGTAACCCACAACTGTGGCATAGTTCTCACCATCTGAGGTCAGTATTAAGGGAGCAATATCTGCAAAAGAGAATGCAAAATAAGCAGCACTGCATTGCAGGACTGGGAACTTAAATACTGTCCCTGCATCATCTCCTTTTCCAGCAAAGGTCAGAGGCTCAGCCACTTAATGGGATTTCTACTGCCTTTTGGAACTACTTGTACTGAGCAAATGAGCTCTCATAAGCTTCACTGATAAAGATAACAGTGGTTGGCTGCTGGACATGTCAGAACATGAAACCTCAATGTGCTCCAGGAGAGAGAACAGACCCAGTTCTGCTTCCTCTAGAGACCTCTCCTATTAAATCAATTCCCATCACTCTCTTTCGTCAAAGAACAGGCTGAGCATCACAACTGAAATTAAAGATTAACAATACACTTAATAATTCAAAACCAGAGTTGTGGTCACAATTCAGCCCCCAGTGGTTTCAGTAGAATTGAATTCATAAGTTTTTGAGCCCAACTGCAACAGTTTTTAAAATAAAGAGTATATCAAAGCTCACGAGCATTTATGTTAAGCCTGTAATATTGCCCATGATACAGCTTATTGCATTAGTTTGGACAACATATTTTTTTAAAATCTGGGGCTAATGCAAAAGAACAATGACATGGTTACAATGCCCAAGCTGTTCTGAAGCATTCAGTCAGCAGAACAGGACACTTCAGTTAGGTATTTTCTACAGAACAGGAAAGGCCAGAAGAGTACTCACTGAGGACGTTCACATTGGCGCTGGCAAGGATGGTGCCATGCTTGTTGCTGGCCTCGCACTGGAACACGGCACTGTCCTGGAGCTGCAGATTGGTAATGCTGATCTCTCTGTCAGAGATTCTCCCTCTGAAGGTCCTACCTGGAAAGACCCAGGAAAGGTGGTCAGAGGGCTGGAGCACCTCCCATATGAGGACAGGCTGAGAGAGTTGGGGTTGTTCAGCCTGGAGATGAGAAGGCTCCAGGGGGACCTTAGAGTACCTTCCAGTGCTGAAAGGGAGCTACAGGAGAGATGAGGAGGGACTCTTGATTAGGGGGTGGAGGGATAGGACGAGGGGTAATGGTTTTAAACTGAAAGAGGGGAAATTTAGATTAGGTATTGGGAAGAAATATTTACCTGTGAGGGTGATGAGGCAGTGGCCCAGGTTACCCAGAGAAGCTGTGGATGCCCCATCCCTGGAGGGGTCCAAGGCCAGGCTGGGTGAGGCTTTGAGCAACCTGGGCTAGTGGGAGGTGTCCCTGCCCATGGCAGGGGGGTGGAACTCAATGGTCTTTAAGGTTCTTTCCAACCCAAACCATTCTAATTATTCTATAATTCTATGATTCTATGACCCAGACTGTGTCAAGAGATGGAGAAAACACCGTGACTGCAGAGTTCACAGTCTCTGCACTGCTTGAAAGTCAAAGACAAAGCATATCTTCAGGATCAGACCAGGATCTTGCTCAACAGTTGGAGAGGAAGCTTCAGAGCACTGCCTTTGCCAGCAGTCCTGTCACCTAAAGAAAGTGCTCTAGAGCATCAATTTCCAGTAAAATCCCCAAGCAGATGTTTCCAAATGGTAGCAATAATATTACTACACCAGGGAGCAGGGCCTGTGCTCCCCAGCCACACAGTCATTTGTGCATGTTCAGAAGCACAAAGAAAGATCAGGAGCCCCCAATGAACATAAACTATCCCAGCTCTCCAAAAAATGTGAGTGTTTCAGGGTGAGGCAGAGGCAGCAGCTCATGGGTATCACCACCCCACACTCTGCAGCTTTCACTCTTGCTCTCTTCAAGATCACATTTAAACACAGGCTTTACTAAGTAAATAAATAGGAACAATATGAACTCACACTAAAATATATCTCAAACCAGACATCATTTGGTGCATCAGGATTTGTGGGTTCCCTCTAATCAGAAGCAACACAGGTACATCCCTCCCAGCCACCGGCTGAAGGAGGACACTGGACCTTGCACTTACTGTCGATGGGCATCCCGTTACGTTTCCACTGGGTGGTTGGCTCTGGGTTGCCAATAGCTTCGCAGAGGAGCACAAGATTCATTCCTACGCTGTAAACAGCACCTTCGGGCTTCTTTATCCACCGAGGAGGCTCTGTCAAGAGGGGACATAGCAGGCATCAGGTACCACAGCAAGACATGTCTGACTTTGCTATTTCTATGGTCCTCCACGAGATGGCAAACGCTGCCAACAGTTCCCAGCCTGCTCTGAGCAGCCTATTGTGCAGCTTTACTGTATTTCTTACAAACCGATGCTAAAAAAGATATAACTAGCATCAGCACACATAAATTGATGTCCTTCAGGCTTTGTGAAACGTGAGTGTCAGGGAGAGAGCACAGTGAACAGGCAGTGTTTATCCAAGTGGAAAACAAATGCAAATGGGAGGTGAGAGACTGGGGAAGGCGGTAAACCTGAACGGGTCGGCATTTTCACAGGGACCCCCAGACATGAGACTGTGGTCTGTGAAATGAAGTGAGACTATTTCAGTAACTCAAACAAGATGCAAATATCCATCCAGCTCAAATCCCCCTCACTAGGAAAAAGGAAGAGGCTTCTACCACCTTGCCCAGGAGCAGCCGGATGGCAGAGTGTGGCGATGCAGCTGAGCTCCGCGGCAGGACGCAGCACCCTCCACCTCCTCATCTACATGTCCTGGGTGAATGCATTACGATTTTTCATATTTTGGCTTTCTGTCATGTATTCAGATGAGAAGTTGATTCATAACATCTTTAAGAATGACGAAACATTTCCTCACCACTGAGGAAGAGAGAACCATCATCCTGAGGAGGTTGAACTCCAGAAGGGTTGCCCACAGGGTGGTGGTAGAGGAGCAGCAGTGCGCTGCTGCATTCCCCGTGGTCGCCTCTTTCCCAGCACTGCCAGGCAAACTGGGGTAGCTCTGGGGAAACTCTCTCCTCTGCAGAGCAGCCCCTGAGCATCAGTTACCCAAACCTCATTGGAAAAATGCAAGAAAGGAGGGAAGGGAACCGAGGGAGGGCAAAAAAACCCATTAATTTGATGAATGCTTTGTTCTCTACAGACTGAATGCAGGTCCCTGAGCTTTGCTTACCCTTCAATGGGCAGCCTCAATCCAAAACACAGCCTTAAATTCATCATCGTCTCTGCCTGAGAAACAACAAACTTCCAAATTTTAATTCCAGACCTGACACTACCTCTTCTGCATGTTCTGGGCAGATCAATGGGCCTCTTTCTCTGTTTGAAAAAGATGAGCTAATGTATGGGAGACATGAGGATTCATTAGTTAATGCTCATAAAACGCTTTGAAGATTAACAAAGCTGTTGCCTGGTAATACATCTCCAGATGTTATCAGTGTGATATGCTAAAACAAAGCATCATTGCTCATTTTCACACAGATATATTAGAAAAACCACCCCTGAAATGTGATACACAAGAGCTTCTACACAGTCCACCATTTCCACAGTAAAGCACCCATGAAGAGACATTGTTAAGCAACATCTAAAGACTGAAGTAAAATTCAAGACACTGAAGCTTATCTAAAATTACATCATCTTAGCATTTCCTTCACATGGTACAGATTTCTTCTACCACCTTCCTCATGTAGTGCTGGTTGCCCTCCCCTAGTGCAGCACGTGATGTGACCATACTTGTTACCCTTCCTTGCATTTGGCTCCAGGAAAAAACTCTGCAAGCAGCAGAACATCTTGGTTTTGCAGATCTTTTTCCTTCTCTCTCTCTGTCTCATATACATTATGCTTTCATCAGGAAAAGGCAGGTCAAAGGCATGGAGGTGAAAAGGTTTGTAACAGTCCTGATGAATTTTTCTTTTCCCCACTAGGTCTACCACAAACACAGTACCTGAGACAGGGTATTCTCTTGTTTTGGAGGAGGTGAGACACTAAGCACAGACTGGAAATAAACCATCCAATGGATCCTTTCCTATTTTCATCTATGCATACATCCTGGAAGTGAGCTGCAGATATATTCTACCACTGCCTTCCTTTCTCAGCATGGGAATTGCTGTTGTTGCCCCAAGAAAGTGGTGCAGCTGCAGAGCCTTAGGTGCTGAGGTTTTGTCAAGTATGAAATGTAATTTCACAGAAAGGCTCAGGAACCTCTTTTCTGTGTGGCAGATATGCTATACTACTTATAAGTATACAAAATATAAGAATAACATAATACACATGTATGTTTTAGCAATTACAAAAAACAGTGGTTGGATAGTCAAATAGTTAATCTGTGTGAGCAATACAGTACGGCAAATATTTCACTGCATAATGTGTTCTTCTTGGTAAGAGTTATAAATGTGGGGCAGCTGATTAAGAGATTTATGGCTTTATGGAAAAATAATGACAGGTCCAAAAATAGAAGGGATCTCAAATGGGCATCTAGTCCATCTTTCTGCAACAGAGCAGGATCATCTTATACCTGAAACACCCCCAACGGATTCAAACCTTCCCCACAGCCTCCCATGCTGTCTAGAACTAGAATAAATTTTTAATGTCTAAGCAACTTTTGCCTTGCTGCAATTTATGTCTATTGTATCTTGCTGCATCCCCAGGGAACTAAGAGAACAACTTGTTAATATCTGTTGTGAAGAAACTTCAGTGCGTCTGAAGGCTGCTACACATTCCCCAGATTCATTCTTTCCTGAACTAAACATGTCTATAATTTTTTCCTCAAATGCCATGTTTTTGAGCTCTGTGACTACCCCTGCTGCTTTCACCTGAACTGTCCTGAGTTAATCCCAGCCTTGATGAAATGCATGACAAAAAAACTGCTTATGTTACCTGAGGCCCTATCAGTTCTCAGTAGTGTCTCCTACAACAGCACTTTTCTTTATACTTTACAGGATAATTTTTTACTTTTTCTGCAAGACTAATATTTCCAAGTCATGTTCAGCTTGCAATCCAGTATATCCTCCAGACTAGTCTAACCAGACATTTTCCATCCTGAGCTCATGAAGCCAATTATTGCTGCCTGATGAGAATTGCTTTGCAGTTGTGCTTACTGAAGCCCATCCTTTTTATTCCAGACCGTTTTCCCAATTTGTCAGGACCTTTTCAAATTCTCCTCACGTCTTCCCAAGGGCTGGCAATCCATCCCACTTTGGGGTATCATCTGCAGCTCCACATGCAGTTGCCACCTTGGAGTCTGCATACCCGTTGAAGCAGTTTTGCAGCAAAACACTGAGAACTACAGTTTGAGCCTGATTAAAACAACCAGCCACGTCTCTGCCTCACATTAGTTTCATCTATTTTATTTTTCTCCAGCCAAGTAATGAAAGTATTACAAGACTTAACTGCAAAGGCCCTTAGCTATTATATCATTACTATAATTAATCATTATATTGTAATAATTATTTCTATTAAATACAGTCTAGGAGCCTCAGTCAAGATCAAGGTACCATTAGATCAGGCGCTGTGATAGTGACAAGATTTTGAGGTTATATGTACATTTTACATTGGGCTTGGGGGATTATATACAATAGCCAAATAAACAAACATTTGAAGTCAAGACAATAAATCCCTCTCATTCCACTAACAACAATAGGGGTTTTTGTGCCTGTTCCAATGTTCCAGGCTACATCATTCCTTGCAAAGAGAGATTAAAATGTTCAAACAGTCAAGCAATTTGCTGTCTGAATATTTTCATGTGCTTGGTAATAATTGCCTGAATCTTTGCCCTCAGACTGCTGTAAGATTAGTAAGTGGGCTGCATGCAAATATCATTAATTAAGACTGTTATTTAGAAGGCTGGGCTATTGGTTTGAGATCTTCAAATACCAGAGACAAGAACAGAAATTGTGACATAGTGCAGAAATTATAACAAAATCCTGATTTATACACTGGCACTAGAGTGAGAATGGTTGGCAGTTAGCAACTGAGATAATTATTCTTCCATGTTAAATCTTCTTCTCCCTGCGTGCATCTTTTGAGAAGTACGTGGTAGGTATGAGGATGCCCTACGTCAGCACAACCTCCCTGAAACCTACTGAAATTAATGCTCACTTCCACCAACTCGAGATCTGCCCTTGAGTGTGCACACAAGAATTGCTGCAAGAATGATGAACGTGCCCATCTCTGATTAATGGCAGTGACATTTTCTGGTTAGAAATTCTAGAAGAAGATGGTCTTTGGACTCAATTTTACCTTGATACCCTGCATGTGAGGTGACTCCTAATAGGAAGAATTCCTGCTAGTGACAGTAGCCACATGGAAAATAAATGTAATAGCAATTGCAAAAGTGTTGTTTTATGTCAGAATGGCTAGAGTGGGATTATTTCCTTCTTCCTTTTTTTTTTTTTGTTTAAGTACTTATTTGTTAATGAGCAGGAACAACAATTTGCTGCAAAGCTTTCCCCCCTCTAGAGACTGGGGGAGAAAGGGGTCAATACTCTGAACTGTTTAATTAATGTTATTTCTCTGGTATTTTAGTTTTTGCAGCTCCTGCAATTTCTTTAAAGGATTCAATTTTTACAGCAGAGAAAATCATAGCCAGATTGTTAAAATATTCAGCTACAGCAGAGATGCTCCAAACCATCTGGAATGATTTCTAGTAGTCAGCACTTCCCCTCCATCGCAGCTGAAAACTTGCCATGCCCTGGTATCCCCCTCGGCCACATTTCCAGGAAGGGAGAGAAGACTGCAAGACACAAGGTTGTGTCAAGTGAATGGGGACGATTCATCACATCCTGGGAGAAATGGCTTTTCCCCAGCTGATGAGTAAATACAGAGCAGGTAGCTGAAAGTGCCTTTCCTCCCATCAGGACTCCTTGTGACCATAGAGTGAGAAGAGGCACAGATTAAAATGAAGCAGTTGGCAGACTCTGACCCTTTAATACTACCTGTGATTTTTTTTTTTTTTTTTTTCTCTGCAGAGCAGAGGCTGGAGCATTTTTCATCAGTAAAGAGAAAATGTTTTCAGCAAGTTTTTCAGCTGTGCTTCAGGATTCTTATTTTGTAGCTACCGATGGGCAGCCTTCTGGAAGAGTTGCAACGGCAGTGACACTTCTGCAAGTCTCTCTTGTCTCTGGGAATTCTCATTGGAGCTCTGCTTTGCTCCTGGAAAGGCTCACACCTTCAGGCTCCAGGGAGTGAGAGAAGGAAGGAAGGAGGATAGAGGGAGAGCAGCTGTCATTTTACTGGTGCTCTACCTGCACTCTACAAGATGCCTGCTAGGAAGGTACCTTATCCAGCTTCACTAACCTGCCTTCTTTTAGCAGCAACATAAATAAATGACAACCAAACAGTTGTATAAACACACCACATTTCCATGTTGCTAGCCCAGCACAAGTACCCAGCACTCATCCTGTCCAGCCTTCAGACCTGTGTGTAGGTTCATACACAGAGATGCAGCACCCTAAACACCAGGGTATGATGTACACTAGTGTAACCCTGCAGCTATTTATGCTAAAATAGTATTGCTCATCTTTCGAAGCATGCAGGCTGAGGTGGGAATGGGCCTTGGATACACAGTGGGATGAGAAGAAGCCTCACACTTCAAATTTTTTTTTACTTTGTTGCATAAGATTTTTTGATACTTTTCAGGGGCTCAACACGAAACCCACTCTCAGCTCAGGCTGTTCCTATACAAGCAAGGCAGCACGTGGAAGAGGGGAAGAGAGAGCTGATACCATGTTTGCCCACTGCATTTTTACAATCCTCCCTAGGCATTCACTTTTGGTGGAAGCCAAAGAAAGGAAATTGAGGTAAATGTACCTCTGATCTGGTCAGTATAGCCATTTTCACATTCTTTAAGAGCAAGAAGACCAATTAGATCTTTTAATCTGACTTTCAGATTAATACAAGTCATTTCATCAACATCTCTGACTAACTCACATCTTTAGAGTATTGGATCTGCTCACATATTTGTACTCCTGTTCACCACTTTGTAGAGCCTTCATGGTTCAGGAAAAAAAAAAAAAAAAAAAAAAGCAAGCATTATTTCGATTACTTTTTTTTAAAAGATGCTACTTTCTGCAAGCTTCCCAAAACTATAAGGCAGGTCCTTGGCTAGCATAAATTGGTAAAGTTGGTTGAATTAATGCATTACACCAAGTGCTATTAGCAAAGGTCCTTATTCACTTCCCTTTGACAACCTCTCTGTTCAAAATCAAAAAGCTTAGTAAAATGTACTCAGCACCTTCCACATGCACATGGAACTCGTGCTTCACCCTCCCCATGGGGTTGCTCGCTGTGCACTGGTATGTTCCTTCATCGGCTGCAGTCACTTGGTCTATCTTCAATATCTTCCCAAAATTTTCTGTTTCTGGTTCATCCTTGGGCAAGTTTCCAGTGACCTTGACCCAGCTTAGATGAGGAGTTGGGCTAAGAGCAAAGAAGACAAAAAAAAAAAAAAAAAAAAAGGATTTTCAGTCAAAAAGCTTAAAATTATAGGCTGCTATAATGCTTCAATGTTAGCAGAGCTGCTGGACTTCATGCACATGGTTTGCAAGGGAAGTTTTCAGAGTTTTTTAACCCTTTTTAAATCACGGGGGCTATACTCAATGCTATACTGTAGACTACAACTAGTCTATACTGTTTGATTTGAAGGGCCCCTATGAATAAATCCTTCCCAGCCAACATCAGGCCATGGCAGGAGGTTACATTCCTTGTAAGCGTGTCGGCACGGGCTGCAGGAGAGGGAAGGGAGCTCATGTTGTCCTGCTCCAAAAGGGCACTTGAGGACAGACAAGGAGGTAAAGACTTCATTACGGTGATTTCACTCGGTGCCCTGCTTGGTTAGGAAGGTGGCCAGCCATCAGAGATGCCTGAAAATGCTCCTTAGGTTTTTAGAAAGCAAAATGGCAGTGACACAGGAATTGGGGACAGACTGTTGTCTGCACATTCCCAGCTGGGCTTCTCAACCCCGATACCGTGCACGACGCACATACACAGTGTCATATCTGCTTACTCTTGTGTCCATCTGTTATTGTGGCAAAATGCCCGGGCACAAGCTACTCAAAGCCCCAGGTACCAAGAAATTATAGTTTTCCATGAGCAGTGAGCACAACCGCGCAAATATCCTGTCGTTTCCTGCAAGAGTCCTTTGTCCTGCTCTTGCACCAAAAGCAGGCACTGTGTTGCCTTGGTGCTGTGTTGAGGCAATGCCCTCCTGACTCTGTCATTGCTCAGAATATAAATCTTCAAAAATGACAGATTGGAAATATACTTAATTCCTTATCTGGCAGTTGGCTGCCCCTGATCTTAGTTACTCGAAATCTGGCTCAGTCTGTCTGCTTCTATGGTTTGTGGACATTTGGTGGGATGGATTGGCAGAGATATAGGCAAAGCTGATCATTTTTCTGCTCAAAATGGGAATTTTAGCAAATAAAAATATAATTTTATTTTGGTCTAAATGTTGCATTTTTGAATGGTTTCAGTGAAAAATGTTTGTTGATCAAAGAAGTACTTTGTCTTCTTTCAGAAGTGACTACTTAAAAAAAAAAACCTTTTTGTTTGAAAAATAATTTACACAGAAGTTTATTGTAAAATTTTGAGTGAAACAGAAATATTCCTTTTTTTTTTTCCAAATAAACAACGTCCTTTTTTGACTTTCTCTTCTTGTACAAGACATTAATTCTTGCACATGAAAATTCATGTTTGTGTATTTCCAAGGTGATTTGCCTATTAAGTACCTTGAAAACACTGTAAACTCATAGCTGTGGACTTGTGGAGGTTTGGGCACTTGCAAATTAGCTTGATGGGTAGTGAATTAGACAAGGAAGTGTTGCAACAGGGAACTAAAACTCACTGCAGAGAGTTGGAGTGAATCCAAGAGAGACAATTCACCTTCTCTCAGAAACGTCCACCAACTGCAGAGGCATCATCTTGCCAGCTCAAATGAGCAATGGGGCCCTTTCAAGCCCACATGGAAAACCAAAATATCCTAAACATGTTTGTTCAGGCAGATAAATATCCTGATTTGGGAATTTTATAGAGGGGATATAATTGCACAGCCTTTAGTATGAATTATCTCTGTGCTAACCATGGTCTGTGTTTGCAGACCTGCAGCTCTACCACACAGCATGAGGAGACAATGATTTAAGTCCCCATTCAACAAAAAGCTCTATCACAAAGAAACCAGAAGCAACTGTGCTTTCATTGTGGGTTTAGCGGTTGGAGAGATTTTCACTTCACCTATTTCTCTGGTGGCAACTCTTCTGCAGCAGATTACTGCACGTACAAGCACACAGTAAAAATTGGGAAACTGGACTGAGGGCAAAGCGGAGCTCATGTCTGTCTGAGCTGCTGCAGCAGGAACAAGGTCTGAGAGAAGTATTCACAGCTTCATTGTGGGGACTGCACTTAACACTTATTTAGCCATTCCATTTCCTTACTTATCCTTGTTTTGTCCAGTGTTATTTACAATAAGGAAGAAAATTGTCCTGATTTCCCACCACATACAACCTACTTTAACCTTTCCCTGTATTACTATAGTATCTCCTCACTGAGTTATTCTGCCATGCTTAGCACAGCCAGATCTGTGACTAGAGCTTGAGTAGTGCTCTAACAGAAATGATAATACCAGTAACAAGCTTGAGATTCACATGAAGCACAAAGCACCAGAGGGATGCATAGGAATGGATCCAAGCAGAAAACCTGGGACTGGAACTAAATTTGAAGTTAGTCCGTTACTGCCAGTTTTAGCAGGATCAAACCAATACTCCTGACTCCAGTTCACTATATTTTTGCATAGCTGAGGACTTTGTTCCTTGACATACTGTCATCTGTGAGAACATCATAGAAGGAACACCCTTTGTATCGAAATTCTGGATGCTGGTGAATGGACCACCAAAAGTGGCCAGAACCACATGCACTCCCAAACGAGCATCTCCCGCTGCAACTGGGCTAGGTGGACCACCAGTTTCACTCAACAGGGAATTTCCTTAACGAACATCTTGTATTACATCACTCAAGAACTTTGCCTTTAAAAACTGGAGATCTGACACCTGGAAAAATGATGAATAACTTTTGAGCATTGAACCAAAACTGAAATGGTATAACTAGAAAAGAAATATTACAGGTGGTGAGCCAAACCACAGAAGCTGAATTCTGATATTATTTAGTTTCTCAATATCTCAAAAGTAGTACTGATGAAAAAAAAAGTTTGATAGTAGGCTTTTTTTTTTAATATAACAGCAAAAAAGAAAATCAGTGCTTACCAGGCTATGATTTTAATTGCTTGCTTACAAGCTATAGCAGTAACAAATACATGGCTGTTGTATGTTAGCTCTGTGCTGCTTTACAAGGAGTGCACATATTTCAGAAAAACTCTGCATAGAGGTTCCATTTAAAACTGTATAGTCAGGTAGGTATATTTGTTTGCCCTTGTATAATTCTTAATATAGCTTTTTTCTTTGCTCAGTTCTGTTTCAAAAGGTGATTAAGTTTGTGCAGTATTGTGCATTACTCACAGCCCTTCAGCAATACATTCGAGGAGCAGGACACCTCCTTTGATGACAGTGACTGATGAGCTGCTGCCAGCAGATTCAGGAGGGATCAGCAGTTTGGGTTTTCTTTCCTTGATAAAATTTGCTAAAAAATAAAATAAAATAAAAGTTAGATAGGAAATCTTAGAGTCTTTGCTTATCCTTCAATAACGACACAAAAATTACTCCTGTCAGAAGGTTTTGGACATCGATTTGTACATTTTCTTTTTTATTTCTAGAGTTTGAGGCTATTTCAGGACTCTCCTGTTTCTCCTGCTTACAGTCAGGAGAAGGCTACAGCAATAACAACAGGCAGCAGTACCAGTGAAGCCCCTTTTCCTACAGTTTCATGTCCTTTCCAAGCACTGGCCCTTCTCTCATACACCTCAGCCAGTCCCGGTACACTGGTCTTCTCCATGGCTGATCTTCTGCTGTGCAGCATCTTTCTTACCACCTTTCCTGTGCATTGACTCCATCATCTTGGGGGCCCTGGGCAGCCTGCTCTAGTGGTTGGCAGCCCTGCCCACAGCAGGGGGTTTGAAACTAGATGATTTTTAAGGTCCTTTTCAACCCAGGCCATTCTGTGATCTTTTAAATCTCAGATGAAACCCCGTCTTTCCTGAATTGAATATCCCACAGAATTGTCCTTGCTACAATTACTAAATCTACGGTAATGGAGATATGATTTGTAAGGACGACTCTTAATAAAACAAGATTGACCTGCATTTGTTTTCAACGGACCATTTGTTCCAGCCAGCCAAACAATGGTTTCATGATGAAATATGCCTAGAGTTAAATGGCTACCCAGTTATCACTATAATAACAATTAACACAGTAATGACTAAGTCCCCGAATGGTACTAGTTCTTCAAAAATAGTCAGTTATGGATGATTTGGTAAAAGACCCCCATGTATCTCTCTGAATCATTTTTTAATATTTTTTTTCCTCCCCTTGCTACAAATCTGTGTCACAAGTGCTCAGAACTTCAGCAAAACGCTTTTGTGCCCCTGGATACACTCACACGTTCTCTGTCTGCCCTCCACCTCCCACTGCCAAAGGCAGGCAGTCACCCTTCCCCAGCAGTGACAGGAGTTCAGATACCTCTCCAAGGGAAAAATTGTGTTTTTGAGTGTTTGTCACTCTGCAGAAGCCCTGCTTGCTCTGCTCATGATGCTCAGCCTCTGTGGGCCAAGGATGCGGACTCATCAGCACTTTGAATTACCCATCTCGAAACACTCGAGAAGAGTTTTCAAGAACTTCAGTGCTCAGCCAGCAAAATGAGGTTTTTTGGGAGTTTAAAACTGGGAATTTCAAAAAAACAGAGGCTCTCAGAACAATTTAACCAAATCCATTAGAGTCAAGAACTACAAAAAAACCCCTAAAACTATCATTTTTACATATTTTAAACAAAATTAACCAGGTGGAGAATTACAGGAATAGCCGCTAGCTGCCTCCTGACTTATCTGTATTGCCAGCATAAACCTCAGCAGGATATTTGCAGGATATTGCTCCACATAGGAGGAAACACAAAGCGAGGGAAGATGCGAATCCCTGGGATGACAAATGCTCCGTTGTCGTGCTTACCTGCGGTGAGCGTCAGACAGGGTGATGCACGGCCAAAGAGAACCAACCGCCCCCATGAACCTCCTCCCATCTCTCACCAGTACAGCTGCGGACAGGGACAGTGAACACAGAGCACCTACAGCTCTGGGCATCCACACCTTACACTCACCCTGGAGTAACGCAGCCCCAGGATGACCCTTTAGACATGAATTAGTGGTTTCAAACCATCTGTACCCAACACCAGTGTCTTCTTGACTGCCAAGGGGAGATTCAGAGCATTCCCCATGAAACCCAGGAAGTCAATCTCCTCCCTTATATCACATTATGAAATGTGAAATTTTTTTTCTCGAGGAAGAACACTACCTCTTTGTTAAAAGCCCTTCAGACTTCTGTCAAAAAGTACAAGATGAGCAAATTGTTAGACCACTTAAATCCATCCCATCGCACTAAAAAGGCTTTTGTGATTTTTTTTTCTTTTTCCTGAGCAGCAGCTCACATTTCATCTGAGCCAGTAGGTTCTCAGTTTGGAGATTAAATAACAGATGCATTCAACTCACCCTTAGTAACCGCAGCGTTAGGTGAGCCTGAGTCATTAGCATGCTTAACTGAAATAAATAAAAGTGACAACCAAACACAAACATGCATACTTGATATAGAATCAAAAGAAACAATAAATCAACCAAAACAAAAACATGACAACCCCCCCAATTTCTGCCATAAAAGAAAGAAACAAAGAAAAATATAAAGTAAAGGAACAGATTAACAACAAATTTCTGAAAATACAAAGAAAATTCCTCAAAGATATGTTATTCTGCAAAATACTTCATGGGTGATACAATCATCATTTCATCCGAGGTACCTAGTATAATTAAAAAAAACCACTAAGCCCTAAGTATCCGCTGTGAAGAAATGTTGTAAAATTTATCCAGTCTCTCTTTTTGCATTGCCTACATTTTTCTATGCACAGAGAGGAGCAGGCAGTCTCAAGCTAGTTTACAAAACCCTTTGAGTCTGTGCCTCACTTTTTTCCCCTCACCCAGTCTCGTGGCGCTGATGGCAAGGTGCACCCTCTGATGCGTTTTGCTGCACCACTGCCAGGGCTACTAGCAGCCCCACAATCAAACCCCAGCTCACATTTCTGTAATCTGTGTGTTCATGTGTGTGGGCTGGATCCATTAGAAAATCTATGGAGAGCAACATTTCATTTCAGTATGTTTCTCACAATTATTATCCCAAGATATGGTTTATGCAAGTATTAAGATATACAAACCCACTGCTAATCCTTTATCTTTTTATCCCAACAAGAAAACTCTCAAAATCATATATTAAATATCAGACTTTCATTCACAAAGAAAAATTGCCTTGGCTTTCTGGGTTGCATAAGCCCAAAAGGTCAGAAGTATTAGCAGAACAGAAGACTGATATTAAGGGCACAGCAGCCTCAGCAAGTGGTACCAGCGATACCAGAAACTATTACAGTCAAAAGAGATTCAAGCAAAGTGGGATGAATCTCCAGCTGCTATAAGCTGCCTTAGTTCCACCGGCTTCTGTTGTGCTCTGTTGATTTAATGCAGCTGAAAGTGGGCCTTAAAGGGTACTTTTATTTTTTTCTTGGATATTTGTATTCTCTTCCTCTGTTTCTTACACTGATACCTGCACACCCCATGTATTCAGGAGCTTTACACAGCTTGAATCAGCAGTTTGGTGCCGCAGTGGGCAGGTGTACACTGAACATACATGCCTACGATGATGGGACAACAAACCCCACACACCCCAGTGAGACTCAGGTGCAGGAGAAATACCCCAAACCATATTTTGCATAAGACCTTCAGAGCCTACAGGAATAGAGAGATGTTAAAATAAATAAACAAACAAACAAATAAATAAATAAATTAAATAAATAGAATTGGATGTTCCCTACTTAACATTTCATTTAGGAAATGGAAAATGCTTCGTGTGTCACTATTGATGCTCAAGGCAGCCAGCAAAGCCCTGGAAAGCACTGTCCCTCCCAGCTGCACTCCTGCACCCTGTGAGGAGGTGGCCACATTAAGTCCTCAGGACCCAGAGAAGTCCCATCCATCGGTGACCTGCTGGACTGCATGAGAAGTGGATTTTCCCAATACGTCATTAGGTTTCCCTAGGAGGAGAACAGGAGGAAGAATGCGGCACTTTTAGGGCCCAACAGCTGCAAAAAGCTTTTATTGGGTGAATTTAGCCCTTGAGTAAGGTTAATGATGCAGGAACAAGCACAGTAATCGTATCAGAGACACAGGGGACACATCTGCATTCGCTGATGCCTGGGGAGTTAAAAAAGAAAAAAAAAAAAACAACAGAAAACAAGAAACTACTCATCCACAGACTTACAACGGGAAACCTTCAGCGTCATTGGCATTTTCTGCACAATCGTCCTCAGTCTTGGAAATGCTGCAAAGCAACAATAATCACTTCGACTGTCATTTTCTTCCACATTTGCGAAGTAGAGATCTCCCTTAAGGCTCATGGAGACCCTTTCATCTTGCGGAATGTGCTGCAAATCTAGCAAGAAAAAATAATTATGATATGGTAATGTCACTGAGCTGTTTCACCAATATGACTACTAATGCTCTCCTGTCGCATGCTTACTTCCAGATACAGAACGTAACTTTGATGCGAAAGAGGCAGAAGACCCAGCACAACCAATGCATTATTTACCAATATCCAAGATACAATTGATAACTGAGAATAAATATTTGCATATAGCAATATATATTTATAGATAAAATAGATGAAAAAAATGCTAATGAAAAACTGATAATAAAAAAAAAACACTCATTATAAAGTTCCTGCTCAGGTGAAAGGAAAGGAAATTTCCAGTACCTCTCCCTGATACAAAGGCCTGTAATGACAGGATGGAGGTCATCACTTACAGATGTCCCCCATGGCCAGACTCCCAAGCACTTTGCTCTCCTGTAACTACAGACTGCAGCAGGGGAGTGTTAGTATGAACTAAGGTTGCTGTGCCTCTCGCTGTTGATCCAGCCCAATGCAGGTCTGTGCTAAATATGTATGTCAGGAGTAGAGAGACTGCCTTACAAGATCAGAGGTTTAATCTGGCACCCTGTCTCTGCAAGTACTTGGTCAGCACCAGAAGCAAACCCTTCATGTCACGGCAGCAATTTGAGTTACTTTGCTTCCCAAGAGCTAGAAATTCCTGCAGAACACAAATGCTGAAGAACAATGTGACAGAACCCCACAAGGAACTCATTATTCATACCTGAGAGTTTTTTTTTTTCTTACTATCATAAATCAGATATCAATTTATGAAGAGAGGAAAATAATAATGTTAGAAATAATATATTGACACATTTTATCCTCTCTACTGTAAATGCAGTAGTCTTCCCTACTGGTAGACGCATTACTGATATGTAAGCTGATATCTCATATTTAATAATATGTTGTGTCAATGCACTCTACAATTTAGCTTTGTGTTATGTAAAAACATATCTCCATTCTCCATTTTTCAATTTTGTTTTTCAATATCCAGATCTTTTTGCTAAGCATGTGCACAATTACCACCCCCATCAATTATGAATCTGTAATGAAACTGTTCTGGAAGACAAATGTTTTGAGCCTCCTCATATGAATTGTGTAAAAATTGTTTACTTACCAATATTCATCCAGTAGATATGCAAAGGTGGGATGCCTTTTGGGGGGTTACAGTGCAAAATCACAGAATCGCCATGCTCCACATCAAGGGGCTCAATTTTTTCTTTTGGGAATTTTGGTACACCTGTGCAAAACCAAAGAAGTTCCGCTTTTATTGCCACCTTTTGAAATTTTGCCCTTTGCTTCCCCCTTAATTTAGTTCTTAATAAAATCTTTAGCTTAACATCATTCTTTGCAGACTCTGTCTTTAGTTACTACTATTTTTACAAAGTGATAAAGGGTAACGATGCATTTTACTAAGAGTAAGAAATCTCTGCTGGCGTTCTTCATTCATAAAGTGCACAGAGTGTAATACTGAAAGCCAGGAAGCTAAATGATGATGGTTAACAGTTGTCTGTGATGTCTTTGCTTAGGATTTTTTTTTATTTTAATACATTTATTTTCAAACGCTTTCTATAGCTCCTTTGCTTGTACTGGCTGGAAAGAACAGCTCACAGCCACACAGAACCAAAGCCTGAGGACAAGATGGGCACACAGGACCTGTGCACCAATGGCTCCCAGGCTGTTCCCTGGTGGTCAGAAGCCAGTCTGGGAGTGCAGTATGATGTTCTCAGAAGTCTCGGCTAAAAAGTGGTTGCCAAGAAGCCACAGCAAGTCAATGCAGATGAGGACAGACATTGGCCAGCTATTCCACCTCGTGCCTGGAGTTGTCCCGGTTCTTATCCATCTCTGGATTCAGGTGAAGCAGAAGTCTGGTTCTGGTTTACACCCCTCAGATGTACACACCTCTGCTGTGCAGACCTGCAGATTTTCTCAGCAAGCTTATCCTTTGGGATGCAGAGACAGGATTTGCAAAAAAAGAATATGCAAACAAGGGCTGCACTGTTTGGGCTTAAACAGAGGTTAAATAATTAATGGATCAAGGACTTGTTTAATCACTTAGAGCGTCGGCACTGATGACAGCAGACTGTTCAAACCATGAACCATACCAGTCAAATTTGGGCAATCTGGTCAGTCTCAGCAGCCCAAAATGCAACCAGAGCATGTCCAAGAGAGGAGAAGAGCAGAGCTGGGCTGGAGCCCACACCCAACCGAGCACTGGGAGCTTGCAGCTCAGAGATTATCGCAGAGAAATTAGTCTGCAAAATGTAACCACTCCTTAAAGGAATTTAGCTAAGACAGTTTCAGGGCGGACGCTGGCTTCTGGTTTCATTTCAGGCAAGTCCAAACTAGGGAAAGTTTCAGTTCAGACAACTGCATTAAACAGCAAAATTAACAGCAATTAAATAGAACAGGAATGAAAGCATCCTAGCTGCGCAGAATCAAGCTGGCACAGCAAATATTGCCATCCCGGTGTTCAAGTTATGACAGGGACCTCTGATAGCAAATAAACAATTTGAAATGTCAGTGGTCCAGCAGCTCCACAGGGTATCTGCAGTGTCACATCACAGGAGTCGAACCAAACAAGGGGGGTGAGAAATGCAGGGCCAGGACTCTGAGGAGACTTTATACGTTGTAGGATCAGTAAACATAAAAAGAAGCAATCACTGTAATGCTGATTGCCTGAGTGCAGATTGTGCATAGATTTTATCTCCAGGAGGATTATTAATTATGAATTCTTAGGAGAGTCACAATGGAGCTAATGAACTCTACCGACTCTGTGGGTGAAATTTCAGAAAACAAAGGGAACTATATATTCAAATCTAGTAACCTATAGTGTTCAAGCCCTGGAAAATACATCTGCCGACTGCTGGAGAAGTGGAACATTTTCCAGTAGGAAAAAGCCAGTTTGTTGATCTAAAGCTTACCTATTCCCCAAAGCACAACCCTCTCAACAAAACTTTAAGAAAGCTGGATGAGGTGAAGGATAAGGAATTTCTGAGTAAACCAGAGACCAGCAAATAGACTAATAATGATATCACTCATCTAGGACACTGGAAACTCTTGTTCAAACTAATTTTCTGCCTCATTTGGCACAACTACATCTGGATCTCCAATATCTCAGTTGGGTGCCATAACCACTGGCCTTCTCAGTCAATTTCTTTAGCCCATAATGACAGAATTGTACAAAAAGATATCAGTTTCCACCAGGAGACAGTGAAAAATCACGGTCTCAGTGTCATTTCCAATGCAAGGCCCTGATGTCTGCTTTTGGTTCCCAACAGGGGAAGCAGCCACTTGCGTCCTCCATCTCCAACAAGTACTGGAACAACAGGCGGTTGGAGTTTCTGGCTTCTTCCACGTTGTTTTGTTTCACTTTGCTCACTGTGAAAAACATTGACAAACTTTGATTTTCCCCTAAACACATAACTTTGATTGTTTTGAGCCTTTGAAGTTTTGCAAGAGTGAAAAACTCAACTTTCACGATAAATTCCTGAGCCAAGCCTTCTGACAAGCATATTTTTCTTGCTGGGGTCCCATTGGTCTCAAAGACTAGAAAAATAACTGCTTCTAAGTTCTGCATGAGGAGATTTATAAAAACTGAGAAGCTAATATCACATTAGATTTTGGCTCTTGCACATTAGTCTTCAGTACGTACATGTAGGCAATATTTTTTTTTTCCCAGTGTTCCTCTGCTTTAATTAGCAGATACTCCAGAATCAATCACTACTGATTTGTGGCTGATCACAGAAACTATCACAGCTAAATTAAACTTGGAAGTATCATACAAGACTAATTGTGTCATGAAAGTGTTGAATACTATATGGAGTTATCAATGCAGCACATGGGCACTGTAAAATTTACAACCAATTGATCTCTTTGCAGCGATACCACTAAAACTGTCATGTCAATCTTTCATGCAATTCCCCACACACAGATATAATGAGAAGGGACAGAGAATTCAGCATCGCTCCAAGTGCTACCTCTCACATATCCACAACATGGGAGAAAAACATTATTTAATGAAAGGCGTGCTGCAGTGGCAGCAGGATGGCTCTCACAACACAAGCCATCAACTGGCATGTATGAAGCAGCCATGGGGAAGATGAAAAACTGCACACCTGACTTCTGTTATGGAGACAGCTTCTAAAAGCCCAGCGTGACATATAAGGCTCTCAAAACCTTCTTGGGAAAGGCTTCACTGTCCAAGTGTTATTTCCTGACAAGACTATACCGTGAATGCTCTACAGCACCCAAAAACCAGAATCACAGCACTTTGACAGTGTGTAAACTGTGGAAATGGAGGATTATCAGTGTCCAGAGTCATTTGTGTAAGGAACCAGGCTCTGTTTAATCCCTGGGGTGACTCAAAGTTTAATGACTGATCTGTACTCGAGATTAGGCTGAAATACCACTGGCAAATTAGGTTGGCTGAGAGAAATTTCAGAAAGAAGGCTGGGTCAATGCTTCCCACTTCTTATCTGTTCAGAAAATTCAGTATCTATCTCCACAAAAAGCAAACAGGAGGCAGACCAATACAATGCAACATAAAATATAAATTTGAGTTTAGCAGTATGGATTCAGAAGTATAGCAATCAGAATTGGGGTATCCTCAGCTCGATTGCTTCAGATTTACTCAGTACCTATTACCACACTTTGTCCTACAGCTTAGTTTCTGTCCTACTGCTGGCTACAGTGACTTCACACAACTCTAGCTGTATCCAGTATGGGACTTTATACCAGTTTATGTGAGGATGGAGCCCATTCAATCTGATATTTCACATCTTTCTGGGTAAAGTGTTGAGAAGTTGAACTGAAGGAAAAGGTTTTCTCTAGATAACTGTAGAAGTCCTTGAGACCCTGTGTCTGGTTTCTACCAGTATCTGGTGTAAATTGGGAGCCGACTCATTATGGTAAATCAACAACTAGCAAATATTTTGGAAAACTGTTGTAGGAAAACATTAGTGTACACTAGATCTGTTTTTATAACTGTGGATGCTGTTGGAGATGTGTCCTGGGCTAGATGGATGCTTAGCCTGACCCACCATGGCTATTCTTAAGTTCTTCCATGCAAATAAATCCTAAAAGGATTTGGGAATTCTAGAACTAACATCATTGGCATAGCATAGCCTGCCACTGGACAATTTTACGTTTGGGCTGTTGCCGTCCTCAGATCGTCAGTCTTTTGGAAGAGCTGCTTTAGAAATACTGAGCATAAATCTTAACGCAGTCTACCATGAGGAGTCTTTTACACTACAGTTAATTAAAGAAGTTTAAACCATACTCTTTCTCCTTCCTCTGGCATTGGGCCTACTCAATAATTCAAGAAACAGATTCCCTAAATACAGGAGGAGGGTAGCTGAAGCTGGTATTCACACCATTTAAATTCATTTTCCTGCGGCATGTATCTTGTAACAATCTGGGCTTCGTAAACGCTGCAAAAATATAGAGAACCTCAGACCCCATTCTTCCCCACTCTCCTTAATGTCACCATATATATAGGGGAGGTGTGGTATTTTCATTATGTAGGTGACATTTAATGATCATTTCTGCTGACATTTCTATCACTTTCCTGCAATGACTACTGTGAGTAAACAGCCTTTTGTTCTCCTTTTCAGCAGCCACCTTACAGACCCAGTCTCCTACTTCTGCAATGTAAATGTAATTTATGAAAAAACCTGCCCTAGTCTGACTTGTTGGGTTTTTCTTCACTTCATTGGCATAGTGGCTTGCCAAGTAGCTTACATTTTACTTGAATCCAGCTGGCAAAGCACTGCAACCTCTGCATCATTATCATGAATGCGTGTAGTGATCTCACATGTACCAGTCTCTGCTTCAAAACTTGTGGGTGAATAGAGGTAATTTATCCCAAACTCTTCTGTGTCAGTGATTGCCTAATTTACAGCGGATCTGGGCACCAGCAGCTCTCTTTCACTTGAGCACAGTTGTAGACTATCCAGCACTTTAGAAAATCAATGGTGTCTTCTATTACTCTCTGAATCCTGATTTAATTTGCAGCATCTAAATCACACCATTAAAGGAAAGAATTTATGATGTTTGCCAAATGAATATATGTGGGAAAACATATACATAATTTACCCAGTTGCCTTTGCATTAATTAAAGCTGGTAAGGACTGTCAGTATCAGCACTTGCAAACTTGCAAGTCCAGTGGTATTGTCTGAACTCCTGCGTTCAGATTTGGTTTCTGTCCTCAAAATCAGGAATTAAATTAGATAATTCCAGGGAGCACACAGATTTTTTCCTTCCAGCATTCACTGAATAACAAACAGTGTGTGCCTTACCATACCCTATCTTAGTAACCAGTTCTTCCCCATTGAATTTGGAGAAACAGAGTTTTCAGCTTAAAAACCAAAACAAAAGCAAAGTAAAAGCCCTTACTTGGAACAATTAGCTCAATTTCTTCTGACATGGCAGTTCCCAGAATATTGGATGCATAGCAACGATATCTCCCTTGAAAATTGGTGATGATTCCACGGTTTTGAATCACAAATGTTCCAGAGTTGTTAGAAGTAACTATCCTCGGGTCAGATAATAAATCGAATGGTTTTCCATCCTTAGTCCAGTTGAAGCTGAAAAATAATACAAGTGTAACAAAGGACAGGTCACAGAACACAGTGTACTGTGGTGCAAAACCAGTGGTAAAAATGGGTCCAACAATGCACTAGTAAAATAAAAAGAGAGAGCTGGATGATAAAATGACCAGTGTGTTACTATAACTTGTTAAAGCTGTTGGGCATGTCTCTCCTCTTGGTCACTCTGCTTTTGAACAACTGATTGTGACATGAAATAAGAATACAAAGCTTAAGGCAAGGACAATAAATGACAGAGACCATAAAAAAAAAAAAAAAAAAAAAGCAAGAGCAACATAGTGAAAGGAACTAGAGGTTTGCGAAAAAGCTGTGTCTGTAGGAGAGTTGGTGCTTTTGACCAGTGAGGACTGATAGGAGCTCTTCTCATCATCGCTGGGAGATACCATGGTTGAACCCAGAAGAAAGCAAAATAACTCAACTGAGTTTCTCCTGGTTTTCACGTAGAATCACTTGTAGTTTTGATGCCGCAAGGGTGGGATTTTTTTTGAGTGCTGAAGTATTGCTCATAGTTTACGTATCTGGAAATCTCAGGTGGCTTGAAATTGGGCTAGACTGATTCAAAATCAGAGACAGCTAGAAATCACAGTGTAACGTGTTTAGTGGAACATGTACCTTTTTTCAATATTTTGCAATGTTTCAAGAGCTTAAATTAATTTCAACAGATACATATGCTTTGGCACTTCACTTGTATTGCCAAAGGGAATATGGGTTCCTATCACCTAACCAGCACTATCGCATACATCCAAATGTATCAGAAAACCTTTCATTGATCCACTGACGAACTCTGAAACAAAGGAAATTTGTTACAAATCTCCATTCAGAGCTCAATTAGAAATTATCAAATCACCTTGATATTAAATAACAATGTATAGCAAGTTTAAATTGTGTTGCAGAGAAAGAGGAAGGGAAGGATTAGACAGTAAAACTGAAATTCAAACCAGATATTAATCTAGCCCATATGCTACCCAGTGTTGAAAGTCTCAGGAAGAGCTTTTACTATGTTATTATTACACTTTTGTTAATCACATTTTCACCAAAAATATTTTTCTTTTTTACACAGGTGTAAAATACATACAGCTTATCTTTGGATATCTATTTGGATAGCTCCTTATGTCTGTATTTGTAACACCACCACGGCCACGATGATGTTAGGTACAGACAAGCTATCTGATAACATGCAGATGAATACACAGTTTAATGTGGTTGGCATTTTTAGGGTTGCTGTGGAAAAGACAGAAGAACAGCTAGGACCCTTTGATTACCATTGCACACCTCCTATCTCTTGCAGCATAGCCCAGACAAGATTTTTTAAATCACAGGGTGAGCTTAGCACATGCTAGAGAAATGAAACATCTCCCAACAAGCAAGAGGCATTTTGATATCTATTCACAGAGTGGAAATGGATGGCCTAAATGGAAACCCGTATCTCATCCTCACCGTACGATGATGAGCAGGTTACCCTTCACCAGCTATTCCTCCCCTCCTCAAAACCAGAACAGCATTTGGCAAAGGCTAAAAGCAAACCCAGCTTCTGATTGCTTCTCCAGGAGAAAGCAGTACTCACACGGGCTGTGGGTTTCCTCTTGCTTCACATTTGATTGTAAAGTCCTCATCAAAAGGGTAGGCAACCTGGGTGTGAGATTGCTCCGTGATTGTTGGAAGCTGTGCAACTGAACACAAAGAGGCACCGGGTTAAAATGCTGTTGAAGCAAAACTGTGCTCTGCTCAGGTCCTTTCTTTGAAAGCAACAATGTCAGGATTGCCTTACTCCTGCAAAGAGTGAGGTTTGCCTCAAAAAAACTATGATCATCCTCATCTTCCTGGCATTGACAACACTCCCTGCTCCCAAACCTGAACGCTGTCATTGCACCAGCAGCCAGAGGAAGGCTCGACAGCACTGACTGTGTTCAGGGGCATCGTCTGCGCATGCTTCCACATACGACCAACCCACCCAGGGCAGAGGAGAGCTGGGGCCATGCTAAAGCTAAAGCATGGGGGTGTAGACTGGTGAATTTATTCAGTGGTGAAGTGAGTAACGGGCTTTTTAACCCAGACACAGATACACACACATGAAGTAGCACACTGCTACCTCCATCCTGGATGAAATTGCCGGGAAACCCATGGACTGCAAAGATGACTTATAATACCCCCACCAGGGGACAGCACGGGAAGAGCCATTACCAGTCATATGGTCATGCAATGATGTTTCCCCAACTTTTTTTTTTTTTTTTAAGGGAATTAAAGTGTTGCGAATGCCTGAGAATGCTCCCCGCAGCGGTGCTGGGGATAATAGGATCATTGCATTGTTATGAACAGCCAGGAAGAAAATTAACATGCTCTTTGGTTTCTCTTTTAAGTCCAGGAAGCTCAAAGCAGGAGCGAAACGTGGTGTCTTGCCGTACCCCGTGGTCTCAAAGCTGAACACTTCCAAGCCCACCAGCATCACTGATCAGACATAATTCCTTTTTATTAAAATATAAAATGCTTCATTAAAGCAAATTAAGGGCTAAATGGTTCCCTGGTGTAGCTACTTAAAAGCAGTGGATGCCCACACAGTTTGTCCTGCACTTTTACAGCCACAGCTCCACTTTTGCTATATTTAAACCCAAGGGACCACTGCGGTACCTTCCTCCCAAAAACTTCTACTTCCAAATGCTCTTTACCAAGTTTGGACAGCTTTAGAAAAATATCCTATAAACATGCTCGATTGCCTTCTCCTTTGAGGCCAGGGCTATTGGCAGACTGCAGAGCACAAACAGCTCACGGCAGGTCCACGTAATGCCCTGAAACTGGCCCATGTCCTGCTCTGAAGCTACTGCACCCACAGACCTGCAAAGAGCCTATGTTTCTTTTTCTTTAGGTTTATTTTTTTTCCCCACCATAACTGATAAAAAAAACAATGTTGTTTAGTTTTGCTTTGGTTTTTAGTTTTTCGGGGTTTTTTTCCCCCAGAAAAAAACCCAAACCATCGTTTGCAATCCTCCTGGTCCATTTATGCTTGACAAATGCAAAGCTTGGGAGGTCTGGGCTGTGCTCCAGACAGTGGGGTCCACTGGCTTTCATGGGACTGTCCCCTATGAGCCTCATCCCATATTTTACACATGTCCTGAAACCCCACCAACCATGTAAAACAGGCAGTTTGAATGCATCACAGACAGAGAGGGAGAGAGGAGGTGCTCCCCAGGGCAGCATGCAAGGCGTAGGAAATACTTCTCTGGGGACTAATGTACGCCCTGAAACATACACCTGCTCCTTTTTCAGAATGAAATAGCAGGTTGCAAGACAAGTAAGTAAAGGTGTATGTACTTCAAACAAGCTTCAGGGAGATTCAGAGCCAAAATGAGGAATTTATGTCAAGGACAAAACCAAACCCTCAGAGCTAAGCGATGTGTTGGATCGCAAACACAGATATATGTTATTAGACAAGTTTACTGCTACATTTAAACAGGTCCAAACAAAGTAACTTATGTTTTCATCACATCTGAATTTCCCAAAGGCCATATTCTCCCAGAATTAAATTCAAAATGGAACAACTGAAAAGCAGGATTTAATATTTTTTCTTCAGTGAAAGTTTTTTTAAAAAAAAAGGGATAAAAAACAAAACAGCAAAGTGTTCAGTAAATAGCTACAACTCACCTGATAATGGTATTTCAATAGCTGCTGCCAGACTCAATACAAAGAAAAACAGGCATATGGTGATCCCTTTTGTGCTTAATAGCATCTCCATCACTCTTCTGTAAACAAGGAGTCCAAACAGAATGAGAGATACCTTATGTTTCCTCTCACCGTCACTTCAAATCAGATGTAAGATGTGAAATTGAAAATCTAGCAAGGAGAAGAAACAGCCATATTAGCTTGCAATACGAACTTGGTTCTAACAAGGTTACTAAATAAAGCAACGCTTCAGGATTTGCAGTTAAATTGCAAATTGCACCAAGTGGTACAATTTCCTCTCCTCTTTCCCCACCTCCTGGCTTCAGGAACATCCTCTATTAAATGTCTAACAAAAAAAATACGTACACAAAAGTACAGATCCATTATGGCACAGAAGTATAATTACTTTTTGTTTTGCAATTAAAAGTAGGGATGGTTTAAAATATGGTATATTTGTAATCATTCCAGTTCATAAATTTTTCTAATGAGAGCTGTGTAGGTTGGAAAGTAATGTAACAGATCTAATGAGAGAAATTTGGTACACTAATGACCCTGTTCATAAATCTCTTTTATCTTTCATTTATATTGAAAAAAGGACACAGTCTAGTTTAGTTCATTAATAAGGACCAGAACATGAAACCTTCTCTTTTCCTCCATAATCCCAGAACTACTGTAGGGAGGTTTTACACGATCCATTAAACATCCTTAGGTTCTGCATTACAAGGCAAAAATGTCAGGTGGCTGCCAAAACGAGACATATTCAGCTCTAATGGGCATTTAAGTGTAATTCACAGAGGAGTAAAGGAGTGAGAATTCTATAAACAGGGTTGACTGGAGGATTTAAGTCTCAGCATCATTCACAGTATCTCAGTGAAATATCAACTGGTATAAGATATGTTTTCTACCTGTGCATCTTCTAACACATAGCACTTATGGGACATTAGTCTCAAGAGAATTTAGACCTCGTTGTCAAGATAATTTTGCAAGAGCAATTTTCAAGACAATGCTACTGTGCTGGAGGTAAAGACCCAACCCACCAGCAGCCCAGCCCAGCCCTGCACGGCACAACGAGCTCTGATCCAAGCCGCTGAGTTCATGACCATGCTGATAGATTTTCCAGACTAAGCCTCACTAGCATACAACACTCGTATCTTTGCACACACCACCCGGTTAATCCACAGATCAGAAAAGCAATCCCAGGATCACTGAGAGCAGTTGGCATGTGGGGGCAGGCAGGAGGTGGGACTGGGCAGCACGTGGGGGATACTGGCCCTTGCCCGGCACAGCTGTTTGCAGCTGGAGTAGAGACAGCACCGAGCCAGGCAGCCAGCACGTGTTGGTCCATGACGCTTTGTTCCTGATGGATGGTTTGCTGGACCTCTAGGAAACACAGGCATGAAGCAGAGATTTCCCTTTTACCCAGCGCCTTCCCTTCTCACATCATGTCTCAGAGGTGAGCAACAGCTTGTGTTGTGGCCCCTTCTCCAGAGGCATCAGCAAGATAATTTCTGTTCCCTTGGTCACCAGTTCATGAAAACTTCCTGGGAGGTAAAGTTTTTGAGACCAAAATCCCTGGCTGAAGAGTGAAATTGGCCAAAGAGGGGACAAGAGACAGACACTATAATCACATAAGCCTCATTTGTTTAGAAATGAAGCTAAAAAACAGATGTCTTCTAAGTATCTTAGGCACCGAGTGTTCGCTGATGGAGGAAACTGAGTAATCTGCTTAGTGCCTCGCTGTGCAGAGGGGGACGGCGCAGAAGGGCACCGGGGGGGGCCCACCCTGCCACTTCCAGGTTATGTCTGGGTGCAAACCAGACAGAATCAGGCAACATCAGTAAGTTCTGCTTTGTGGCAGTCAATATTTCCCTCAGTTTTATTCCTCGTAGCTCTGACTTGTGAGCAATAAATCTTTCCAAAGCTCAGTCCAATAAAAGCTGGGCTGTATCATAGCATGGCAGGAGGAATGCACGAAAACAGCCAGAGGTGCTCAGTTCCAGATCTACCTGCACCATCGGCGGTAAAAGAGATGTTCTGAGAGCAAACCCTCCAGCCACACAATTGCAATTTAGGCTCACAAAAATCTGACCAGCGTTGCTGCTTGCAGATGGTACAGGGGTGGTATCAGTGCCCCCTTCTCCCCCCCGTCTGCTGACAGCTCTGGGGACCAGAGCAGCCCGTGTCGAGATGCTAACCAGAGGAAGGGGAGCTAAGATCCCAGGAGGTGTGCAGCTCGCTAAGTCTGCAGACTGAGGAGCAGGAAGCTTCTTCTTACATGAATCTTACAAAGCACTGTATAAATTCAGATTAAATTCAAGAAAATAAGAGGAAAACATCTTGATTCCTTATCAAACCCATTAGCTCACGCTTTCTTTTTTCTTTTTTTAATAAGGTGACAGAGAGCAAAGAAGAAATGTACTAAATAAGACAGATATCCTTTATCACGTGCTAGGGCATGACTTGCCTCTGCAGGCTGCTGTAATTAGTTGGTCTGTCTAGCACCTCGTTCCTTTTCTCTGTGTTGAATACTAATGCAGGGGGCCAACAGCACCGGCATTTGGAAGCAGCAAGGACTTGGGCACCGATGGCACTGGGCTCCTGCACAGCAATTGCATCCTTCCAAAGGCCACTTGCAAATCTCCCTGCAGCTGCGTTTAACCTCTGCCTTTCTCTTCTGTGCCAGTTTCCACAAGGTACAATCCTGGGGTGACGTGAATTAAGCAGTGGTATCTTTGCGGTGGTATTTACCTAGTGATAACTATCCAGCAAGATAAGCCTTCTGTTCATATGTTATATACATTTCCCTCACGTATCCAGGCGCTGTCCTGGTTGTGCCAGTTGTGACAGCAGTTATTACGGAAGGCTAATGCTGAATGCACATCTCCTCCGATGTGCCCTACTCCTCTCTTATGCCCTGTTCCGCATAGTGACGGTCCTCAGCAGACGGACAGGTCGAGCCATCCATCCTCCTGCAAGGAGACCTGTGTCAAGCCATTAACCATATTTAAGGTGATGTATAGACAGGGCTGCCAAGTGCTAGGTGTTCTCTATGGCTGTCATGTGTTTGGCCATCCTGCCAAGCCTCAGGCCCACAGCTCAGCTGAAACTGCAGTATCCTTGATTAAATCACAGACCTTCCCTCTCATCAGCAGCACCCAAACAACCCCGAGTTCCTGCCTAAATGCGCAATATCAAGATATCCTCCAGACACCCCATCCATCCATCCCAGCCTTAAACGTAGCCACATACCCAAACTTCAGGCAGGACGATCTTTCACTCCTATGATGATTAAACCCCAAACCAAAATTTCTCATCTTGTGCCAGTTCCTAGCAAACGAACAATTTAATTGCTCAAGTAATTTGGAGAAATAAATGAGGTGCCTGCGCAAGCACTTGGCACCTACTGGCAGGTTTCGGTCTCACTGGTGCCAAAGCACAAGCAACACTCTCCTGGGGTCTAGTAAGTGCCAGAGACCAGCTTGCAAAATCTTAACCTCGGTAAAAACCTCAGTTCTGCTCTCCAGGCTGGTGTGCTAGATCAGACACAGAGTTTGCCGTGGGTCCTTGCTTTTCCCAGGAGTCCCACATCCTCCTTTGTATTCCCAAGGAGTTGGCTGCAGCATCCCTTGCACCAAGCAGCAGGGCAAAAGATTGCCGAAGAAAACCTTTCCTTGGCACAATGAATGAGCATGTATGCTACAGCAAATGCAACATTTATGATCCTTACTCTTCCTTTTCTTTTTCTTCTCTTTTTCCTCCCCTCCTCCCTCCATTTCTATCTTTATTTTTGCTTTTCTCCACCTCAGGCTTAAGTCAAGTAATTTGAATTCACTGCAATACTTATCTGTAGTTCCTTACCTGCAATTCATTATCCACTGTGCTGTTCAGTTAATAGTAAATACTGATTGCTCTAAGGACAGCTAATTTATTTGTTTAATGAGCTGCCTTTAACATACAGTGAGCAAATCTTTCAAAATATCAGTATTTCTAAGGAGTGATACAGTTCCAGATTCTTTGATTATATACCATTGCTTCCAGAAGCATGTAGTAAAAACATTGGACAACTAAACAAGAAAAAAAAATATTAAATTTCCATCTATCTCATAAACTTAGCGAACAATTTTTTATGTAATTACTACATTAAAATTGCTCATAAATAGTAGCAGGATGACAGCCAAAATTCCCAGATTACTGGTCTACTGCTTCCAAGAGAAATTACATAGCACTACTAAATATGGCATCAATCTCAGCTATTCAGTTACCTTTTAAAATGTGTAAGATTTGGTTCCTGTATAAGTCCCATACAGAACAAATATTAATTAAAGTAATGTACTCCCAAAGCTTAATATTGGTGCATTTCTGGGCCGAACTTTTCATCAGCTAGAGTCACAATTAATTTCTCAGTGACATATACATTACAAGATTGTTAAATAAAAGCCATTGGTAATTAGAAATTAGAGCCTTCAGGGTGGCCCCAGTTACAGAGTAACAGAAGAAAACTCTGGAAAAAAATTGTTTCCTGGTATGAGATATAAAAATTTGGTTATTTAATTATACCATATGTTGCAAGTGACTGTATTACACTGAAGTTTAATTATGTACTCTGACTCTTTCTTGAATACAATCACAGCAGAAAAAAATCCCAGACACAGTTGAAATGTCCCCCTTCCTGAAGCCCTGTCACCGTTGAAGGCCTCTTTGGTAAGGCTGGTTGTGTGAAACCTGGAGAACATAAGGCTCCAACTAAGATGGTAATGAGCAACCTTGGAAGCCCAGGACTTTGAGAGTGAAGAGCAGCGGTGATGCTCCCCCTGCCTCTCTCCGTGCTCCCTGCTCCGAGCTGCATGCTCTGGTTCAGGATGGTTGTAGTTTTACACAACAACCACTCTCTCACCCTCCCGGAGATGTGGAAGAGAATTAATGGGGTGAAAGGAAAAGAGACTCTTGGGTAGAGATAAAAACATTTTAATAACTAAACCACAAAACTATTGAAAACAATAATAATGATGATAATGATAGTAATATTGACAAATATACAAAGGAGTGATACACAGTGATACTGCTCACCACCTG